CTTAATAACCAACATTTTAGAGAAATGGTTCCTAATAAACTGTTGAAAAATATATTTATTAAATGAATGAACTTAAATAGAAAAACTACATGATAACAGGACTGGCACAGATATTAGTTAAGGTAAATAAAGTTGACTTTGGAAAATAGTTTCAGTTAATAAATAAATAAAAGAGACAATTTATGACTTCAGTTATAATAACTCTATGGGGGTCACCAAGCTGGTGCCCCCAGGAAACCTTTAAGGTGCCCACAGGCTTTTTCTACAAATATCACAAGTCTAACATAAATAAATAAAACTGCTGCCATGTTTTAAACTCTATTCTAGTTCAAAGGTCACTATTGTATCAACCTGGTAGCCCCTCGTGTGGCTCAGTACCCATGAAGAAGCTTTCAGTTTCACAAAGGTTAGGGACCCCTGGTCTATATGAGCATTCTTTACGCTAAATCCCTCTCACACAAAGTTATTTCAGCAGTTTTATTGATGGCATTTTCAGTACAATCCAGAATGAGCCATTTCAGAGCTCTGTTGCTTTAAGAAAACAAGCAGGAGCAAGCCACTCCCACCCCTCCCAGCTCAGGCTGCTATAAGCTGAGAAGCTCAGATATCTGGAGGTGGTTTTATTCCAATTTTCCTGTTTGTGATCTCACAAATGGATTTTTGAAACAGCTTCTTTTAGATACATAATTTAGAAAACAATGCCCTTTTTCACGTTTGGTGTTTATAGAGAACCCCGTGGTGAGTTTGGCCTCATACATCACCTTTAAACATTTAGACAGAAACACCTATTTTCCTTCACCCCACTGGTCTGTGAAGCTAATGTCACACCCCAATCATGGAGGATAAAAAGCTGATTCCACTTCTATTTTATAAAAGTTTTCAAACCATAATTATAATAAAAAAGGTGTTTTTTGATTTTTCTTGCTTAAAACGTCAGCACTATGAGCATCTGGAAAAAACAAACATGGCTGCTTAAGCTGCTAAATCTACTCTGGAATTAGACAGGTTGTCTGTTTAATTTCCCAGTGAATAAAGTTGTGGCAAAACATTAAGACCAGAATCGAGGCCCACTTTCAATGAACTTTGTCTCTTAATGTGCATGCTGTAGGGAGCCTAAAGAACCAATACTTAACATTTAAAACACATTTAGTTTTCTTTTTAAATAACTTTAAAAGCGCAATAACCAATATTTGATTTGGAAAAATTAATAAATGATAAAAATGATAATTGATGCAATTTACTAATGGAGGAATTCAGTTCTATTTATGATTTTCTTCAGTTCAGTTATTTTTGAATATTCGGTCATTTTATTTCAAAATGTAAATAATTAGAGCCTTATTTTATTTTTGTAAGTAATAAATATTTCACACAAAATATTTCATGTTTTTGTTTTAATTTCTTTATTCCTTTGAAGAAAAAATCCCGAAGCTGACAATAATTAAAAGAACAAAAATAAAACTGTTGATTTTGATCTATTTAGAGGAGAAACATGATTTAGACGGTTTGATTAAATCATTAGATGATTTAGTATAAAAGACACCTTTAGTTGCAGCCCTAGACTATAAGAAATCCAAATTGGACACATAAATGATCCTCGGTGTGAAATGTTTGCACCTTCAAATGAGTTAAAAGCTAAAATGAATAGAGGCAGCAACTTTCCCAATGATGCAATGATGTGTTAAATAACCCAACTCCCTACACAAGCTCACAATCTGTAAATAAAGCTTAATATGCCTAAAAATAAAGAAGTTGGCCCTTTTTTTTCTCCTGCACGACCTCCAATACCAGGAATCAGTGAAATTTCATTTTGCTCTTTTGGGAAGGGAGGGGTCTCTTGAGGTGACCTTTGTGAAAATGTACCATCATTTTGGCAGAATCCGTATAAGTGCAGACCATTTCATGCAGACAGTAAGTGTATGAAATGAGTGCTCCTGTCTTTCCAGCCTGGCTCTCTTTGACAGCATGATGATAGAAGCGTCACATCCTTGGGAGAGTAAATGCAAACTGACAAGAGATGAGTCTTTGGTTGCTGAATATAATACAGAATTGTGCTCTGAGTGTCTTATTATCTTGTCTGTTGATGTCTGAAAAGGGGAGATTTGCTTGAGAAGAGAAGACAGAAACTGTAGGCATCCAACACCATCGCATTCTTTGGAAAAAAAAAAAAGAAAAAAGAAGAATTGCTTGCCCCACTAACCACAGCTTTCCCACCTAATGTCCACTTCTACTTGGAATAAATACAAGGCAGCGGGATGTTTGTGGTGCCTCGTAGCCCTTGTTACCTGATGTGGAAGAGTACTTGCACAGGCAAGCTTTTAGGAGGAGAATGACCCTTTCACCGACGCGGTATGCGTGTGGAGGCTGCAGAAGGCTTACAATACACGAGCCCTACGATTGTCTACAATCCACTGACTTCTCTTTCACCAGTCGACACAAACACCATATAAACAGTTTAAAGGCACTAATGCTGAAGGCTCGCGCCACTGTGAGGATCAGGAGTAGTAAAAGGCTCTAACTGCAAAACGACAAAGCCAATTTGATCCCATTTCGATGCAAAAGTTCAAACACTGAAGGCTTATTTATAAAAATTTTTACTTGCAGGAAGCTTTTTATTAAAGGAAAAGTTTTTGCTCTGTGTGTGATAAAATAAATGCACTTCTGTGTGATTATTTCTATCAGATTGAGATGTTTTTGCTTAGTCCTGATTAGTCCTGAAACCCGAGCGCTCTATCAGAGAGCGGTTTTATGGTTAGGAGACAGAAAACAGACAAAACTAAAGACTTTTTTGTCTCATCTTGCTTCTTCGCTACAATTCTAGAAAAAAAATGACAAGAATGTAAATGTTGTGGCATCCTGCTTAGTTCAGACCCACGTAAAAATGACCACTAAACAATCCAGGGACTGGTTTTGATTAATCTAAAACTTGTTTCACACTAAATTCATGGGATTCATGTTGTGCAGACAGGCTGAAAACTCATCTGCATAAATAATAATTTCAACAAAACTGAAAATAAAGATAAAAACTGTTTATTTTCTGCAGCTTTTACCTGCTTTCAGAAAAGCTTCTGAATAGACTCATGGCAGGTAACATAATACATCAGTTCAAAATAATAACACCTTCTGTTTGAACTTGAACAAAACAACCTTTTCAAACACAGAATACCTTAAATTTGTACAAAAAAACATCACCTCATCTCTCTTCTTCCCCCTCCTACCTCCCTCCTGACTTTGCAACATCTCCCCACTGTTTCCTGACAAGTCATCTGGGCAGCGGCTCCAAAACCCAAGCTGCTGCTGGCACAGCCTAAGGCTCTGCCACCAGGCAGAGACAAGCACCCCCCAAGCCTCACGCCTCACACAGGAGTGGCTCAACATGCAGGAGGACCAGAGTCCATCAGCAAGCAGGAAGCAGAGCATCCTGGTGTCATGTCTCCAAAAAGCAGGGGTGCATCAGAGTTATTCCTCGGCTTTTTCTCAAAAGAGTAGAAAAACATGAATGAGCTTTAGAGAGAAGGAGAAACAAAAGTGATAAAAATGATCAGAAGAAGAAACTCTAAAGGGTTTGATGCTTATTAAACCAAATTGCTCAAATGCTTTTGAGACAAATCCTAGCAGTTCGTGTTTGGAGGACTAGCCCGGGGTTATTCCAGATGGGAGAATTTAAAGATAACTCAGCTCTGATTACACACACACACACACACACACACACACACACACACACACACACACACACACACACACACACACACACACACACACACACACACACACACACACACACACACACACACACACACACACACACACTAACTTTCCTGAAAACCTGAGAAACAACAAATTAAAGCCTGGTTAAACGTAAATTCAGATTCTATAAATAACAATATGACTAACAAACACACTTGAGTCAGGAGCACACTTCATTTAATAAAAATAATTTAAAGCTGTCATTAAAGTATTTCTATTGTTCCAAGCAACAATCTAAATCTCGTTTTGTATTAAAAATCTAAACCACATTTATAAATTACATAAAAATCAATGGGAAAAGGAAGATTCTGGTAAATGTTACATAAGAAACTCTCTTATTAGTCACTGTTTATTAAAATGTAATTAAAAATAAAAAGTCATTCAAGTTTTCTGCTATACAATAAAATATTAGTGGAAACTTTGCTTCAATACACATTTTCAGTTGATCGTCTCACTGATTACAAAGAATAAAAAGTTCAAATGTAAATAACTTTTTTAATTTGCAAATTCAATTTAGAACATCTGCTAAGTTATTATTCCATTTGTCGTGTTTACTGATTCATAACGAGCTTCAGTGATTGAATGAGTCCACATGACTGAAACGCCTAATTATGAAAAACGTGTTTGTAAACAACGCCTGATGAAAATAATTAGAACATTGTAATTAAGAATCAAATATCCAAAGTGCAGGACCAAACATAAATGAGTCTGAAGACTGAGCAACAACAGAACTATAAATCACTTTTGATAAACTGTAAAATTATTTGATTTATTTAACTTAATGCTAATTTTTGACCCAATCACATGATGTTTTGTTGGTTTGACTAATATTTAAATTGCGCTAATCAAGTTTCTTTAATTTTAATGGAAAAAAAAATGTAAACAAATCCAGACTTTGCAGGACTTGCAGGTTTAAAACAGAATCTGATTAGGATGAAAATCAGATTTTTTTTACAGGTTGATTTAAACTTTTTTTTAAAAGATTTATTGAAAAAAGCAAAAAGCTTCTTCAAGAATAAAACATAACTTTATAAAGGAGTATTTCAAAATGACAATAAGTTAAAAACAAACAGCGTATCACTGAATTTGATGCTAAGACTCTAAAATCAGAGTTCCTCCTTTATGCATTGAGTTTGTCTCCTGACTTTCTCACACCTGTCCCAGCTCTGGAAGCTCTCTTCTCCACTCGCTGCAGCCTGGAGCGGACCTCCGTCCTCCAGCAGAAAGGAGCAGACGTGAGATTTTAATGGACTCACCGTAGAGATTGTTGGGGGTGCCCTCTCTGTCCGTGGCCTCAGAGGGCAGGGGCTCATCGTTCAAATCGCTGTCCGGGGTCGCCGCTTTGTCGTCCGCTCTGAGTTCTGCTGCGCTCATGTTGCTGCGCAGGGAGAGCAGCGGCTTGCTCAGCTGCCCTGTAATCATCGGATCCGGGAGGAAGCTGGGAGCCCAGGTGGGAAACGGAGTAAAGAAATAAAAAAATAAATTAAAAAAAGAGGAGAGAAAATGCCCCTGGTTAGATGTGCTTCAGCGTTTCACCCTCAGCGACTCCTTGTGTGTCTCCACTCACTCTCTCTCTACCCAGCTTCTCCTTCCTATTGCTCACTCACCATTCTCCCTCTCTCTACTGCTCCCTCCCTCCTCAGCTCCCCTCTTTTATCTGAGCCTGGTGCTACCCCGCTGATACTGCCGGCTGCTGCCTGGAGAAGAGCTGTTACGGATCGCCTGGCTTCACCATTATACTGTGCAGTCCTAAAGCGGGGACGCATCCGTCTCCAAGGGGCTCACTACCTGACGTGTGCCTCGTCCTCAGCAAACACTGATGACACTTTCAGATGATAAATAAATACAATCACTGTTAAAATACTAAATCACCTCTAAATACAAGGATTACTAAGTCAAATTTAGCTCCAGTAAAGATCCAAGCACCTTTAAGAAAGAGTTTGAAACTTTCTGCAGAGAAAGAGACAATTTATCTTACCTTTAGGAGCTCCAAAAGAAAAAAGTTCGAAATTTGGAGGCTGCAGTGACGCTGCAGCTAAAACATGCCACCACTAAAACACGCGTCCCTCTGAAGCAGGGGCAGCTTCCTCAACCTTCTTGTCTCTGTTTAAAAAGCCACCACAGGTTCAAGCCTGAGGTAACTTCCACAGCAAAGCCCTGGAGATGTCACCTCCCTCTGTCTCTTCCCCCTCGTGTCTTCTGACTGGAAAGCTCCTCAGACAGCGCTCACCCCACCTCGGGCTCTGAGGCGCAGTAACAGAGCAGCAGGACCACGGCCCCCTTTCTTATTTATGAATCAACCTAAATACGTCTGAGCTGAGGACAGGTGACCAGCACGGAGAAGGAGGAGGGGGGGGGGGGGTTTTAATCTTATCTTACTCCTGCACCCATCATCAGCCCCCTGCGTCAATCATGGTGGTCGATGATTTGATACCCAGAGGGGCCTTTTTAGTGTGTCCATCTCCAGAATCTGCCCTTTCTGATATGACACATGATAATCTATGAAAATGTTAATCAATGGGAGTAGTTTAAGCTGTCATTAAAAAAAAAAGTGATCCAACTGGTCAATACTCATATCCCCGGTAACAATGTCACGAGTCATCAGGAGCACTTAAATGTGGGACACCGCACATCGATGCGCCGCTCCGCGCCGCCCCACGCCGCCCATCAAGGTAAACACATTTTCCCCCCTCAGTCTGAGCCCGGCCACACTCTGCATGCACTCCCTCCCCCTCCCCTTTGAGCTGCTTGATAGGTCCACTGGAGGGCAAAATTAATACCTAATTGAATCTTGCAGTCATCAAAATAATCAATAGTTTTTTATTATTTATTCTTCACAGTCTGTTGACTGTTTGAAAGCTCAGAGGGACAGCGGAGAGCACAGGCAGCCCTGAAAATTTCTACCGCTTCACAATGTAATTTTCACTGGGGCATGAGAGTTTGCAAGACCTATAAAAAATGAGAGCAGTGGTTTTTGTCAGGAGGTGGGGGGAAAGAAGAAAGGAAAAATGGGAATCTTCGCCCCGGCAGCTGCAATGAAAAATAGAATAAACAAGCTACTGACACTTCAGAGAAGGGCAGGGTCCTTTCTGTCCATCCTTCCATCTTTTTCCTTTTCCCCTTTTCTCCTTATTTCATCATATCAGGAGTGTGGCGATACCTCTCTAATGTTGGCATTTCTCTTCCTGACAGACTCCAAACAAGTGCTGGGAATGAGATCAGAGCTGTAATCTTCCTCTGGCCTGTGAGGCTGCGGGATGAGAGGGCGACACATCTCTCACCATCTTAGGCAGCAGATAATTATTTCAAAAACTCCGCTTGGCCCTTTTCAAATCACGTCATCAGATTCTTTGTTTTATTCATGGTTGGTGATGTAGCTCAGGTTTAAAAAGCTGCTACATCCATGAAATGACTGTTGAGAAGTGGAGTTTTGGTGGATTATTTCAGATTATTAAAATGATCCTAAAACTCCTGATTGAGCAGAAACAGTTCGTCATGTTTCTTCTCTGTGTGGCCTCGGTCCTCGGCACAGGAACAGGTTGCGGAAGCAAGAAAAAGCACTCCATTAACCCCCCCCCCCGGCTCCCACCCATACCCCCCACTGGCAGGACAATTAGTAGATAGCAGATGTCATCAGATATCAGTGCTAAGAGCTGGTGGACCCGACACAGAGATTTAAGGGTTTTAACAATAAACAAATAAATATATTTATCATAACCATTACTATGAAGTTTCATGTAATCTACAGTAATCTGGTATAAATGTATTTTTTATTTCCAAAGTCATTTAAGTTTCTATAAAAACACAAAATATTCCAAAAGCTGTCGTTTTATGAACTCATAATTAGCTCAGGATATGAAGAACGCCTCTCAAGACAAAAATCACGAGGCGCTTCACAAAAACAAAAAATGTAAACATAAAAAAATTTTTTAGAAAATGGTTGAAAATATTTTTAAATGAGCAAAAAATAGACAACTGTGATTAAAAATGTAAAGAAAGAGAGAGAGAGTGAATAGATAGGGACATCAGTGGATCCTGAGGAAGGTGGAATAGGTGGGAGGGTAGAATAAAGAGAGAGTGGTGGAGAAGGTCATACAAAAGCCAGCTTGAACAGGTGAGATTTAAGCTGCTTTTTAAAGGAGACCACTGAAGTGGACGTTAAAGGCATAACTTCATTTCATTAATTTATTCTCTTTATTTTAAAAAGGCACTTAAAGCAGCTGTTTCTCAAATATGAATCATTCTGTATCATTTTTTACATTTTTATAACTAAATTATTTATTAATTCTTTAAAAAAATAAAACGGGTAAACCTGAGAATTTCATCAGGTATTCTCTTGTCCTTGTTTCCCTCAGATCTGAACCATGTAAAAACACTTTTATGTCCTAATATTCTAATGCTTAATTTCAGATATTAGGTTAGGTTTATTTCTCATTATTAACGACCTGTTTTTGTTTAAAAAAGAGGGCACATTAATAATCCTTCTGGAATAATGTGGATGTTTTTTTAAACCACAACATTAGATAAGCTTGATGCCCTTTAACCAAATAAAATTTATAAATACCAAATTTAAACCTTCCAGCTTTCTGCTCCTAAAACTGAATCTTATTTTATTGTTTTGCAAGATCAAATTAAAGTTTACATCCTTTTTTAGTAGTTTGGGTCCAAAAGTCACAAACAGGTAGACGATCTTCACTGATAATTTGGTTTTCTTCTAACAGGATGAATAAATGTACATTTTAGAAGGACATATTTAGATATTGGCTATTTTAAAAGATTTATTGCAGATAATTTAATTATGTTTTTGCTCCTAATAACACGCAGCTATACATTTTAATATTTCATCCTTAAAGATGTGCAATTGCTGTCTAATTTTAGAAGTAATGTTAACGCTTTTAAATACTTCAAAAAAATAAATGAATAAATAAAAATGCATTTTTAAATAGCTAATTAATGTCTAGCACATAAAAAATAGAAGCAACATCCAAATAGTTTAATGTTTGAGTGAGTTAGCAGCACACTGAGATGCTGGTGTCTAATATAACTTAGTAGATGATGGTTTGTCTCCCCCTTAGGGTTATTAACCAAACTGTTCTTATTTCCTAATAAATTTAAATACGCAATATCATTATGTACTAAATTAAATTTAAATCTAGACTTCTAAACATCTTAAAAGAGCAGGTGAGTGGTGAAAATAAGCCAGGCTTCATAAGATATGATTTATCCTTTGTTTTTTTTTTATTGTAGCTTGTTAATAAGATGAAGAGTTTTGGCTCTCTGCTGCACTAACGCTAAAACGCTCCCCAGCGGACGGGTCAGCGGAGGCTGAGGGCTATCAAAGCCGTGTATTAAAAGGAGTTCTTTGAAGTTTGTAAACTGTGGTGCCCAGCAGGTCCACAGCAGATAGATGCTTCTGATTGGTCAGGTGTGTGTTTATTTATTTTTTATTTTTTGCTGGATCGATCCACGGAGCTGACATTCTGGAGCATCAAAGCGTTCGGTCCGCTAATACGACTCCTCCTATGTGATCAAGGGTTGTTTTTATTATTATTTTCCTTTTTTGTCTAAGAGATGCTGATGCCTCTGAGGGGATCCTGCATGCTTATGGAATGAAAGTGAGGTGTGGATTTGATGCTTTGAAAGGGAATGAGCACAAATCAAACTCAGGTTGCACTTAACCTATAAATACTGCAAAACTATGCAGAAGCAGAGAATCAGGGGAACTATATCTACTGGACGTACCACTGGTAGGAGTCACACTGCAGAGATTCAAACAGCTGCTCCTCAAAGTCAGTCTCTCTTCTCGTGTCTCCGGGGGGACCTGCACCACATACACACTCATGAAAGGTACGAAAACCTGATTTCCCAAAAAGGATTGGTAATCTCAGTGAGGGTGGAAGCAGCAATCAATAAATCATTGCTAAGCAGATTGTAAAGAAAAAAAATCCCCCCTTTGGTATCAGTACATTAGGATTCTCCTGAGGATGGATGAGGACAGACAGAGGTGTGAGACAATCTCAATAAAGCGGAGGCAAATCATACCTTTGCCATTCATCTGGACTGTGGCTGTCAGCAGTGACAAAGGATCATGGGAGTTGACTTCATATCCAAAGGGTTCGTTCACACCTCACTCAAAAATACCTGCAAATACACACAAAATCACATTTTATGTAACGATCAAAAGTAATAATTCTGCACAATAGGAGCTTGTAGGTTTAGTAAATAACTGTTAGGGTGATGCTTTTTTCCTTTCTTCTAATGCCGTAATCACATTGGAATAATGTAATGAAACCCTGCCTTAAAACTATAGACCTCTCAGAGGATTTACCTTAATACAAGTAAAAAATGACATGAAAAGTCCAGTATTATTAAATAACAATTACTTTTAGTAATATTTAGAGCTATTGTATCCTCCTTGAGTAATTTTCATATTAATTTTAGTTATTTCATAAACTTATTTTGAAATATAACTACCGTACTTCATGTCCTGTTTTTACATTATTTTGATCACTGTGTCAACTAACCTGTCTTTATGTTTATATTTATATGTAGGCCTAATGAAAAATTTTGTGTATTTTAATTTTATTTACAAATGCTGGCCGTCGTCGTCTTCCTCCGCTTATCCGGGTCCGGGTCGCGGGGGCAGCATCCCAACAAGGGAGCTCCAGACCGTCCAATCCCCGGCCACCTCCACCAGCTCCTCCGGCAGGACGACAAGGTGTTCCAGGACCAGACCGGAGATGTAACCTTTCCAACGTGTCCTGGGCCGACCCGGGGGCCTCCAGCCGGCAGGACATGCCCGAGGCGTCCAGGAGGCATCCTGACCAGATGCCCAAACCACCTCAACTGACTCCTTTCGATCCGGAGGAGCAGCGGTTCTACTCCGAGTCCCTCCCGAATGTCCGAGCTCCTCACCCTATCTCTAAGGCTGAGCCCGGCCACCCTACGGAGGAAACTCATTTCGGCCGCTTGTATCCGTGATCTCGTTCTTTCGGTCACTACCCAAAGCTCATGACCATAGGTGAGGATTGGGACGTAGATTGACCGGTAAATCGAGAGCCTGGCTTTCTGGCTCAGCTCCCTCTTAACCACGACAGATCGGCTCAGCGACCGCATCACTGCAGATGCCGAACCAAACCGCCTGTCGATCTCCCGATCCCTCCTACCCTCACTCGTGAACAAGACCCCAAGATACTTAAACTCCAACACTTGAGGTAGGACCTCTCTCCCGACCCTGAGTTGTAAAGCCACCCTTTTCCAGTCGAGAACCATGGTCTCAGATTTGGAGGTGCTGATCCTCATCCCAGCCGCTTCACACTCGGCCGCGAACCTACCCAGCAAGAGCTGAAAATAAGAGCTGGATGAAGCTAGGAGGACCACATCATCCACAAAAAGCAGAGACAAGATTCTCCTGCCACCAAACTCGACACACTCCACACTACGGCTGCACCTAGAAATTCTGTCCATAAAGGTAATGAACAGAACCGGTGACAAAGGGTAGCCCTGGCAGAGTCCAACCCTCACCGGGAGCAGGTCCGACTTACTACCGGCTATGCGGACCAAACTCACGCTCCTCTGGTAAAGGGACTGAATGGCCCTTAACAGAAAGCCACCCACCCCATACTCCTGGAGCATCCCCCACAGGGTGCACCCGGGGACATGGTCATAAGCCTTCTCCAAATCCAGAAAACACATGTGGATTGGTTAGGCAAACTCCCATGCCCCCTCCATCACCCTTGCAAGGGTATAGAGCTGGTCCACAGTTCCACGGCCAGGACGAAAACCACATTGCTCCTCCTCAATCTGAGATTCAACTATCGATCAGACCCTCCTCTCCAGTACCTTGGAGTAGACCTTTCCAGGGAGGCTGAGGAGTGTGATCACCCTATAGTTGGAACACACCCTCAGGTCACCCTTCTTAAAGATGGGGACCACCACCCCGGTCTGCCACTCCACAGGAACTGCCCCCGATGACCATGCAATTTTGCAGAGACATTTCAACCACAACAGCCCTACAACATCCATAGTCTTGAGATACCCAGGACGAATCTCATCCGCCCCCGGGGCTCCGACGCTGTGTAGTTGTTTGACCACCTCAGCAACTTCTGCCCCCGAGATTGGACAGTCCATCCCCAGGTCTCCTGGCTCTGGTTCCTCCTCGGAATGTGTGTAGGTGGGATTGAGGAGCTCCTCAAAGTATTCCTTCTATCGCCTGACTATAGCCCCAGTTGACGTCAGCAGCTCCCCATCCCCACTGTAAACAGTGTGAGTGAGTTGCTGCCTCCCTCTCCTGAGGTGCCGGACAGTTTGCCAGAACCTCTTTGGAGCTGATCAATAGTCTTTCTCCGTGGCCCCACCAAACTCCTCCCACGTCCGAGATTTTGCCTCGGCAACTGCCACTGCTGCACCCCGCTTGGCTATCCGGTACCCGTCTGCTTCCTCCGGAGACCCACAGACCAGCCACGCCCTGTAGGCCTCCTTCTTCAGCCTGACGGCTCCCCGAACCTCTAGTGTCCACCAGCGGGTACGGGGATTGCCACCACGACTGGCACTGGCCACCTTGCGACCATAGCTAGCAACAGCCGCCTCAACAATCGCAGAGTGGAACAAGGCCCACTCGGAGTCAATGTCCCCCACTGCTCTCGGGATGCGGTCAAAGCTCTGCCGGAGGTGGGAGTTGAAGACCGTCTTGACAGGTTCTTCTGCCAGGCGTTCCCAGCAGACCCTCACTATGTGTTTGGGTCTGCCAGGTCTATGCGGCATCTTCCCCTGCCATCTGATCCAACTCACCACCAGGTGGTGATCAGTTGACAGCTCCGCTCCTCTCTTCACTCGGGTGTCCAAAACATACAGCCGCAGGTCAGATGATATGTCTACAAAGTCTATCATCGACCTGTGACCTAGGCTGCCCTGGTACCAAGTGTACCGATGGACATCCTTATGTTCAAACATGGTGTTCGTTATGGCCAAACTGCGGCTTGCACAGAAGTCCAATAACAAAACACCACTCGAGTTCAGATCAGGCGGGCTGTTCTTCCCAATCACACCCCTCCAGGTCATGCTGTCATTGCCCACGTGCGCATTGAAGTCCCCCAGCAGGACAATGGAGTCCCCTGATGGAGCACTATTTAGCACTCATCCCAGGGACTCCAAAAAGGATGGGTACTCTGAACTGCTATTTGGCCCATAAGCACAAACAACAGTCAGGACCCGTTCCCCGACCCGAAGACGCAGGGAAGCTACCCTCTCGTCCCCCGGGGTAAACCCCAACACACAGGCAGAAAGTCTCGGGGCTAACAAAAAGCCAACCCCAGCCCTCCGCCTCTCACCCGGAGCAACTCCAGCAAAGGAGAGTGTCCAACCCCTCTCAAGGACTTGGGTTCCAGAGCCAATGCTAAGTGTCGAGGTGAGTCCGACTACATCTAGCCAGTACCGCTCAACCTCTGTCACAAGTTCCTGCTCCTTCCCACCAGCGAGGTGATGTTCCATGTCCCAAAAACCAATTTCCTTGTCTGGGGATCGGACCACCAAGGCTCCCGCCTCGGTCTGCCACCCGATCCACACTGCACCAGACCCTTCATGTTCCTCCTGCGGGTGGTGGGTCCACAGTTGGATGAGCCCATGTATCTGGTTTGGGCTGGGCCCGGCCGGGCCCCATGGGCGAAAGCCCGGCCACCAGGCGCTCGCTCACGGGCCCATGCCCCAGGCCTGGCTCCAGGGTGGGACCCCGGTAACCCTCCGGGCCGGGTACTCCAACTCCTTGATAGTTCATCCATGAAAGATCCTGTGAACCGTTCTTTGTCTCACCCTTCACCTAAAGCCTGGTTTATGCTTCTCCATCAGCTCCGCAAGGGACAGACGTGCACGGATTGACGGAAGCATTTTGCTCTCATACCTCTCCATCTCCTGGAGAGTGTTGCAAAGCAATTGCCCGGCAGGACCACAGAGGGCGCTGTTCTGTGGTATCCTGTCATGTATCGGTCCAAGTTAGTGTGTTTATATTGTGTTTTTTGTGTATATAAGAGACTTTTAACACGGACACATTTGTTTCTCATTCTCCCACCGCTTCATGCGCTCCCCACCTCTAAACCCACGTTTCCTGTCATTTCCGTCCACAAATAAAATGCTTGCTGCGCATCTTTTCACTCCTCCAGTCACGGGAGGATGAAACGTTCATATTTTTAGAGTTTTTTCAAGCTTCTCCGTGTCTGCCGCTAATTCCTCGGCTGTCTTTGCAATGGCGGCGCTGTAAACAATAGCGGCGTCCTGACCAATCACAAGCTTGCATAATCCGTCTCGTTCAACGGATGTTTAAAAAAGTGGGCTCGACTCCGTACGTACTTGCGTGCCTGCCGGAGCCCTACGCAAGGACGGATAATGGCGTTGCGTGTCTCCGCACTGACGCAGACGGAGAAGCATAAATCAGGCTTTAGACCAATTTGTCATGGGAGACTCTACCAGGGGCACAAAGTGCCCCAGACAACATAGCTCCTATATCATTAGGGCACTCAAACTCCTCCACCACTATAAGGTGACGGTTCAAGGAGGAGACAAATGTTGGCATTTAATAATAAAAAAATATCTGGATAAGCTTTTTGCTCTCTAAAAAAATGTGGAGAAACAGTTTTCAGTGGGGGTACACATCTTGATATAACACCCCTAATTATTTGACCCTTTAATGACCTGTTTAGGTGTCATTAGTGAATCAGTTCATTAGTACAGAGATGAAAACCTTTAAAAATACACTTTGACTCAATGTGTTGAAATTAAATATGGATAGACCTGTAGCTACATTGTAAGCATGCTAGTGTTGCTTAACACAGATACCATTTTAAATTGTAAACTGGGTGTTTCCAGTTCTGAAAAAAAGAAGAGTAAATATTGTATTGTTATTTATTTATTATTTTAGTAATGTCCTTACATCACCGATGTTGTAAACAAATGGAAAGGAGAAAATCAGGATTAGAAAAGTGGAGAAACTGTTTTCAGTAGGGGTACATATATAGACATAACACCCCAAACTCTTCAAACCCTTTTGTCAGTGCCTGGTAAACCCCGTCTATCCCCCAATTAGCTATTTTATCAATAAAAAGATGAAAACTTTAAGAAAATAACACTCAGGCTGTAAAAATGTATTAAAATTAAATAAGGACACGCTTGTAGGCCTACATTGGATGTTCAATCTCAATTACCTGACATCATATTTGCAGTTACACAACAAATACGTTTTATTACTACCTGTAGTTTGAAGTGATTACATTCTTCCTCGTCTTGTTTACTAAGTAAACACACTAAAATATTAGCAAAAAATACTTCTAAACGTTATGGGCTAAATTTAAATATATTAAACTAAATGCAACATCCACCTCTTGTCGTTGTTGTCCACGAATTTATGGAGTATCGTCTCAATGCAAGAAAACAACAATACCCATAATGCTGTGCTTGTTGGAGTCATGTGATTGAAACGAATGACAACAAGCTGGCTTCAACAAAAACACGACTTTGTTGTAATATCTTGTGGATGTTTTTTAACCGTAACCAATTTTTGCCCGAAAACTGACATGAAAGTGAGATTTTAAACCACCGGTTTAACGCTGATTAGCATCACAATGGCGGAAGTAGAAAAACAGGTAAGCTTTACAAGCTAAAGCTAGCTAGCTTGCTAGCTATTTTCTACGAGTGTTTTTTTAGTTAGTTTTATTAAAATGCAAAAACAGTCCTCGGTAAACATTGTAAGACGTGTTTTATTTAATTTTATTTATTATCCAACGCGTTTCTAGCGTGGAATACGTACATTTAGGGTCTAATTGTAGCTTAAAAATGTTATGTTTACATTTATTGTTGCAAACCTTGCATCACGCCAAACTTTAGCATCTATATTAACGAGCTAAACATGTTTATTATTTCAGGAAAGGAAACCAAGCGAAGAATTCACAGATGATTCATCTGAGGTGAGAAACGCATCAATACATCATTTCTCCGGATGTTTTTTTCCCCTTTTCTCCAAAAGGAGACAGAAAGCAAGTGGTAGAATGGGTTTGTATGAAAGCAAGCTTATATGTCATGCAGTTGCACCAGTATGTCAATGTAGAAATGCATCAACAACGTATTGTTAGTGTCAGGGGTGTGCATACTTCTGTCAAGGTTGGTTGATTTCTGAACTAAAGTAAAGCTCGCTGCCCGCTGGAAGGATGTAATACATCAACACAGCTTGATCCCTGAAGGATCTTTGTCAGATTGTGAGATGTGTCAAACACTCATGAATTACAGATAGCTTTCCAGATCCATCAATATTATGACTGGACTTTGGCATGTTACAGTATACCGGAGCTTCTAAGAATCACACATAAGCTAAATAAAAAATGACCGAACATGCCAGCCTGGCAGGAAGCAGAGATTCTCTTCATAGGAAGCGGAGGATAGTATGAATTTAACTGAACACCTGGAAAAAGCTTTAAAAAAAGTGTAACTTTATTTATTTATCATTTTACTTTTCTTTTCTAGTATCTAAGACATAATCACCCAGAAATATTTACCATTGGTTTATTTATGTATTGCTTTGGTTTTGTTTTCGTTTACTTTTTAACAGCCTCCTCCAGTAAACGTAAGAAGGAGCTGTTCATCCTGCACACCCTGTTTCTAGTTAAAAAATAAGGGAAACAGTTTGTGAAATGTTTTTACTCTTTGAAGTCAGAAGAAATCTCTTCTTAATGCAGTTTTGTATTCCATAGTCATGCCATTTCAGCTGTAGTCCAGGAATCTGATACTGAAATGGTGTTATAACATTTGTGAATTTAAAACAACAAAACTTCCTTGAAGGAATTCACGTTCATCACCATTGCCTTTCCTGTTAGAGTTTAAAACTTAATTCATTTTGTGAAGAAATGATGGAGTTATACTTGTTTTCGTATAGTGAAATCTTGAAAATGACTTGTGATTTAAAGGTGTGGTTGACTGAAAACAGTTTTTTAATGTTTTTTTTCTGTATTATTATAATAAGTCACTTTGAGTTTTTCATGCGGACTAAACATGAAAATAGTCTGCTACACCTATCTCCTGTATTACCTTCTGATAGGAAATAGACGGTGAAACTCTAGGATTATAAAATCCTCACAGATGTATGTCACACTGCAGGGTTTCCCCCAGCGCTTTATAAGCCTGGCGGCTCACCAGGCTTTGCTTGCCCACCTGCCAGGCTAAGCGTCATGCCCCCCTCCCCGACCCTACCGTGTCTGTTGACACGAACGGCGCAGTGGATACTGGTGAGAAACAGCAGCGGAACGTGTGCAACCACCCCACCCCCACCCTCACTCTCACAGAGGAGCGCTGCGGGACGGAGCGCACGGCTGCTGAAATAATTTTATGTGTGAGGGATTTAGTTCAAAAATACTTCATAAACATGTTCTGTATTGACCATAGCACTATAACTGAATAAATACAGTCATGTCCCCTTTAGATGCATTTATAACCATTGTAGTGTATTCCAACGTCACTTAGCTATGAGTTTGGTTGAATCCAAAACTTAATGAAGACACACACCATCGACATATATACTGGACAAAAAATGTCCATAGGCTCGAATTATAAGTTTTTGTTTCTAAATGGGAGGTTCCCACCACCGCCATTTTGACCATGTTTGGAGGACTTGGTCAGAAGCCGAGCACAGGCATTCTGATCCACCTGTAGACGATTCGGGGAGGTTTGCACCGATAATTGAAAAGAGAGTTGCTGTAGTCTAAGCGTGAAGAGATGAAGGTGTGGATAATGATCTGAAGTTCAGAGCAGGACAGAATTGGGCTCAGCTCAGCGATGTTCCTGAGATGGAAGAAGGAAGAGTGAACAAGAGGACTGACATGAGAATCCAGGGTGAGAGCTGGTAGAGTGACTCCAAAGTGAACATACCTCCGTCCTGCTTAGGAACTAAATCATTACTAGGTAGGCTGATCGAGGATATCGGACTTCGCTGGTCCATCATGGTCAAAGATCCATGAGTCATGTCGACATGGACTTGGGCGCCGAGTGACCAAGCAGTGTTATGGTAAATGCATAGAATTTTCCCCCATTCAGCCAGCAAACTATTAGCGAGTGTTTCTGCGGTCTCCCTCAGAGATCCACAAGTGACAGCCTCGAATCGGAGCCAGTCCATGCGTCCCGGCTGCCCCGGGAAACGGAAACGGCCAGCCACCTGCTGTTCCCGGGCAGGAGACTAGAGAAGCTGGGCACCCGCTCAAGTTTTTTATGCAGCCCCACTGACATGTTTGACCAAGCAGTTAAATTACACATCATTTTCCCCCATTCAGTCAGCAAAATAATGTACAGAAATTAGTGATGCACCAATATGAAATTTTTGGGCCGATGCCGATATCCGAAATTAAGATCACTGTTGTGGCCGATAACCAATATTTGCCGATACCGATATACTGACATTAATGCTTCTAAAATCAGCAGATTTTGTATTGAATGAAAATGACTAAAGCTGAATTTACATTATTATGTACACACACCACACACATTTACGCTTCTGAGATTATTACAATCACTGTTGCATAACTAAACAATTACACGTCAACCCTCCTCACCCTCTGAAACAGGCAAAAAAATGGAGACAAGATGGAAAAAATATCGGTTGTTAATATCGGCTTGATTCTAAATATCGGACCGACACCGATGTGTTACAAAATGACTAACATCGGCTGATACCGATATTGATGCCGATATATTGTCCATCCCTAACAGAAATATAAATTTACTTACTGATAACAAAAGAAGCAGAAACCGCTTGGATGATCTGTTAGTGCAGCTTGCCCTCTGTGTCCAAATAATTCCATGATTAACATTAAAACACGAACACACAGAGGACAAAACTAAAGTTCACACAGTTGAAATGGCTGAATGTCTATTAACGTGAGGCACAGGCTGACGCCTTTCCCTGGAACTAGCTCCAACCGCAAGCTCTGAAGTCACGTGGCTCTGATGCTCATTAATTATTCAAAATTTTAAGCATTCAATTACACTTAAACAGAAAAGTTACAAAAAAAATTCACCCCCCTCAGAGTTGTCGCAAAGGTAAACTAGATCTATGAAACCTAAAATGCTTTTTGAACCAGGCTGTAAACATGTTTATTTCTGCTGTGAAATTGGCATTTTTAACACGGGAGTCAATTAGGATTTGCTCACTTCTGGTGCCAGCCCCTAGTGGATGAGGGTGGAACTGCAATTTCTGCCACTTCTGTGTGGGCTTCAGGTGTGAGAGCCTGGGGTTTCCCCTTGACACACACCCAGTGATGGCTTTGTGAAACCTTTATTAAAAGCCATTACATCACTTGTGAGAGATTTTGCTAACACACTGGGTTGGTTTGGAGAGTTTTCAAGAGCTGCGCTAAAATCTTACCGTGGTACAAATTTGTGTGAAGTTTATTCCTTTAAATTAGAGTAAATAAAGTTTCGTGTGGAGTGTCATCTGTGATGGTGAGTACAGGAGAGTCTGAGTAAATAATCTTAACCAACACTAAAATGGCTGAAGGTCTGTTGAGAGCTTAACATTGTAAGTTACAATTTCATGTGGTAGCAGCTGAGAGGTCCACACAGTTCTGAGCGCCAACAGATCACGCTTAATTTAAGGATATCTTGTGAATACATTTGATCAAAGTGGCTAAAACTGCCATCATTTTTTGACAAATAAAACATTTTTATAAAAGGTGATCATTTTTTCTTTATTTGGCCTTTAAAAATGATTTGGATTCATTCATTTATCTGATCTCACTTGTTATATTTGAGACGGACGGCAGGATGAAACATTGCTTTGTCGATATTGAAACAGACAAGTGCAATCCTTTCCTCTCTGTGCTCGAGGCAGAATGTTATCCTTGATGTCCTCACGCTGAAAGGTTCAGCTTGTTGTATTTAAACTGACATTAGGCAGAGAAGATGGCATAAATGCTTGCAACATAAAGGCCAGCTGTGTAGTTGAGAAAACGAAACAAACAAAAAATAAACTTACAAGAGATGGCAAAAAGTTTTAAAATGGGTATTATTTTTTTCTCTGTGGGGATGAAGTTTGCCTTTGTTGTTTGATACGCCTCTGAAGCCTGTGACAAATGCCCTCGCATCAGAAATCTCACAACCAGAATACACAGGAAATAGCCTCGATATGGCGTTGTTGAGTGGGAAAGGATTGTTTCTGAAAATACCATTTTTTCCACGCTATTGTCCCCTACCTTCGAGCCTGGAGCACATAATGGCAGACAATGTTTTGTGTTGATGCACCCTCTGGGCAGCCACAGACTGTGCAGCATTGGTTATAAACTGAATTATGAGTAATATTCAAGCTGTGACCGGCAGCAAATGTCGACTCATGCCGGAAAGTGTAACACAGGAGAATACCTTAAGTTTGCTTTATGAAAACAATAATTTCATGAGTTTCACCTGGGATCAGCTACATCAACAAGGAGGAACTTTTTTATCATCTTTTAATGCAAATGAGTCTTTGTGTCTCTCTTTGTACCAGCTTCCTAGACAACAGTCTTAGTTTCTACAGCTGAAGGAACAAACGGCCATTAAGTGACTTTTCTTTATTTTTGCCTTTCATGTTTTGGCACAGATTCACTTTTCATTCCCATGCAGATGTTGCGTCAGTCTTCTTTATTACTCCATGTACCTGATTATGTTTGATTTGTTCCTACTGGTTGCTACCGATGAGTTGATTTGGAAAAATAAACCAAAATAAAGTTTGATTAAAATTCAAAGCAAGGCAAATAGCTGCCATCTTTGTAGACATTTTATTTAGTAAGAGACTAACTTTATTGTATTTATCCTAGTGAATCTATAATTAATTCAACAGGTAAACTAGTAGTAGCACATCCCATGTTAAAGAAAGTAAAAATGTTATTATCAGGAGGGGGAGAGTGTTGGGGAGTTAGCAGCAGTATGCCACCTGATGGCCCCCTCCATGAGGCTACCACAGCTCAGCCGGACACCATTGTAGCTTCTGGGGAGATACACACTTAAGAGAGAAAATAAAGGTAACAGCTGAAATGGCACGAAATAATGCAATTAGAGAGAAGTGGTAAAGGAAAGTAGTGTGTGGAAAGTTGTCGGTATGTCCTCCAGCAGTCTAAGCCTATAGCAGCATAACTACAGCAAGGCAGGGCCAGGGAGAGCCGTCTTTACCGACTGTATTCTGTACACTCCATGCTGTCCTGCTGTCGAAATGTCATGAAATAAGACTCCAAATCCTGCCGTCTTCAGCTCATCTGCTAAATTAGCTATTGCTAAATGCATTTGACTGCAAATATGGGGCAGTGGTTTTACAGTTTGGCTATGCTCATTGCCTGGCCTGCCCGACTTGTCCTCTGTTTAATTCTGCACAGAGAAAGAGTCTGGTTACTCACAGGCAGAAAGGCACATTATGGGCGGGACTAGCGAGTTAAAAAATAACCATTCCGAAAAAAGACGTAAATGCCGACGGTAACGCTCAACGCTGTAGTCAAAAATGGCGTCTGGCGACAGCGCACACATCTTTCTTTACAAGAAAGGCTTTTAGCTCTTCTACTTGTTGTGGTTTTAAAGACATGTTTAAGTAATTTAGAACAGAGGAAAGAGCCGCAGCGATCTCAGCTTTAAACCAAGAATGTTGAAATTCCAGCAGAGCAAAAGAAAAACATCTTTAAGGACGTCTAGAAATTTACAAACCCTCTGAAAATGTGTGAATTGTTTTAATGTGAGTTTTTTGTTTTGCTTTTAATCTCCTAATGCTGACTCGCATTTGTATTGAATCAGTTTCAGTATTAACCCATTAGCTGACAGGTCAACCACTTGTTCGTGTATCTTATTGAAGCACGTGCTGAGATTCATCTGCTTGCACATGAAAGGAATGAATGCAAAAAACAGTTTTTACCTGGCAACTCAAAAAATGTCAGTGAGATTTCTTTATTTGTGACCATAAACATAAAGATAAAAACTGTTTTCTTCTTATGCATGAATCATAATTTTTCCTCTTTTATTTGTCATATAACGGATTATTTTTTCAGGCAAAGAAAGAAAATAATGATAATTTAGCAAAAATGAACTTAAAACAGAACCAAAGGAGGACATTTGGCTTGTTGCAGCCCACTGCATGGATGATTTCAGCTTCCTGAACTTTTAGAGGTGACACTTGTAATGGCCATCTTGAGGAGGGTTGTAGTGAGAGCCGATCTCCTGTCTCCCACCAGGAGGAGGACAGCGAAGAGGAGCCCAAGCTGAAGTACGAGAGACTCGCCAACGGGGTGACGGAGATCCTCCAGAACGACGCGGCCAGCTGTATGACCGTCCATGACAAGGTAAAGGTGATGATCCACCAGCCGCCAGGGCGTTTGAGAGAGATGTCATCTTCAAAGCTGGTTTTCTTTCCTTCTGCTCAATCTGTTAAGGCAGCTCATTCTTTTCTCACCTTCCTGTGCTTTTTCCCCTCTCTCAGGGAGGTGCATCAGAAAGCACTATTGTCTTTTCCTCTTTTTATTTCCACTCATGTATTTTTCTCTCCTTTTTGCTGGATGTTTTTAAGAGGGCTGCTCTCAGCGTGACGTTTAATCGTGGTGGCACCAGCAGCACACTTGCACGCCTGAGCAGAGCAAAAGTCATACCCAGTTACGTCTCGTCACCTGATGTTTTATTAAGCACAATTGATTTTCATTTATTTATTTTGTTCTTTGGGGATCTTTCGTTTAGTTGTTTTGTTTTTTTAACCTGGAGAGAAGCTGCTTTTCCTCGAATTATAAATTAAATCTGACTGTTTTTCTGTAATTTCTGTTTACCTTCAGCCATCCAGCTACATGTGTGGTCACACCCCCCACCGCTGTGACAAACTCCTACAACCTCAAAGCCGCCGCCGCCGTCGGCAACAGCAACACGCAGCCCTTCTGTTGCCTCATATTTTAAAGTGTCTGAATCGGAATTTCATTTGAACAATTTCATCCTGATAAATCCCTTTTAAAAGTCGCTCCGCCTCACAAGCTTGAACCCTTTATTTATTTATTTTGGGTGATTTTATTTTGGGGAGATTGCAGGGGCCTCTGTCTGACATGCTCAGCTGTGCCTGTAAATATAAGCATTTCATTATAGACCGCACTGGAGCATGGTGGGCTCGCCGCACAGCCACATGCTGGTCGAGGAGGGACGGGGGGGATTAGGGGGAGGAGGAACACACACTTAATCTAATGCTTGGAGCCCCCAGTTTCTATAATGTTTTTGTCCCTGTGGACACACACACGCGTGCACACACCCACCTGAACTTCTGCTGAAGCACAAAATGCAGAAACCAGTTGCTGTTCTGCAGGAATAAGAACTCTGCGTAGGGAAAGGAGATTTCCAGTGGGAGGAAAGGAAGAACTGGGATGTGGAGTGCATTTATTATGCTTAAGCGTTTTAATTTGAGAGAAAAATGCCATTTCACACTATCTGCTTTAATAAATAGGGCTTTTCCACCTCTTGCAATTTCACAGTTTTGCCTCCAAGCCCACCCAATCCCCACTCTGTCCATGTTCCAGGAAATATCTTTTTTTTTTCCTCCCACTGTCGTCATGAGTTATTTTATTTCCTACATTTGATTTCAAATGTCTTCTTGTTTCATTTATCTTTGTGTCTTTTCAGTTTCTCGCCCTGGGGACTCATTTTGGGAAAGTTTTCCTGCTGGACATTCAAGGAAATGTCACTCAAAAGTTTGAAATAGTGAGTAATGCACCTTTTTCCAAATGAGAAAACAAACATATTGAGTACAAAATGTACCTTTAAGACTCAGCATGGCTTTTCTCCACACTATTAATAATATAGCTTTATTATTTACATTTCCTGTCTGCAGAAAGTGTTTTTTTTGGATCAGTTTCATTGGTCAAAGACAAACTATTAGGTTTTGTATTGCAGTTATATATTGTTCATAAGCTCCGTAGTAGCACAGACATTGCATATTTTATGTGTAAAATCATCGCAAACTGAGATTTTCCAAGTGGTGCTCGCTGCAGAACCACAAAGGCGGAGCTGCACCAGAAGGTGGAGCTGCACCAGAAGGTGGAGCTGCACCAGAGTCAGCCCCGCCCATTCCAGAATCAGCCCCGCCCGTTCCATCAGAGTCAGTCCAATTCCTTCCAGTTGTCAGACTTGATAGCATTCTGGAATCAAAGGGTGTTATAGCTAAAAAATGCGAGATTGAGGACGGAGTTGAGAAGTTAATTGAACAGTTTTTGTAAAGGTTCCATATAATTAAAAATCTAACTTTTGGAACTTTTAATCATGTTATATTGTCATTTCCTCATAAGAAACACGCCGAAGCCATTTTTAGCCTCATTCATGCATTTTCCTCCCATCTCAGCTTCAATTTGGTCTCCTCCCCCGAAGCGGGTCTGGTCTTGGTTCTCAAATCTGGATATTCTGTGAATTTTCTGAGAAATTATTTCTGAAATGACTTCTACTGAGACACCGCCAATAAAATATACAACCCATCTCAGAGACACACTGGGAAGCACAATTAGATGTAACGCCACAAGAGTTATAACAGATGTGGTGGTGTAGTGGTTATGGAATCAGGTTGACATGCAGTTTTGCGCAGGTTCGCCTCCCATTAGTGTAAGTTTTATGTACAACCTCTTTTCTTCATTTCTAGCTACACTTGCCAGTACTATGTTTACAACAATTTATTGGTATACCGTTTAACATATAATGACTAATGTGTTTATTTATTTATTTATTCGTTTATTTAGCCAGTGTGAGTCCATTTGTGAGCAGAGTTTCAACTAAAATGCTGTTTAGGAACGACCAAATTCAAAGAACTTTTAGAGACATAAATATTTTGCTGAAAATAAACATTACAACTAAAATATAAACAAATTAAATGTTTCAGCTGGCTAAATAGATTGCTGACGACCCCACCGAGAATCGAACCAGCATCAGCTGAGGGGAAAGCAAAACTTAACTCTGACGATTTCGCCACTAGACTACCAAAGTCCATTCGAAAGTCTGACATGCTGTTATACACCATTCCTGTTAGACCGGCTGTGGGCAGATATTAGCTAATAGAAACCTTTTCATTTCGAGATATATTCAGTCTTTGTCATGTAGCAAGTTATATTCATCTTGTTTAATTGGAGCATAGAACATAGCATTAACGACTGTAAACTAGTAACAGCCGTAATTCATGTGGGTCAGGTCAGTTTGCGATAAAGTTGAAAACAAAAACGGAAGTCAGTGGGTAAGCTGAGTTTACGTGAATGGGCGGGGCTGACTCTGGTGCAGCTCCACCTTATGGTGCAGCTCCGCCTTTGTGGTTCTGCAGCGAGCACCCTCTCAGATTTTCTTGTGTTTTATAAAAGCACTTTCAAACACAGATTTACTGATTGTGTTTTTTGGGGGCCGATACCGATTTCTGCAGCTGCTGATGTCTGTTTTGATTCAGCTAAAACCACTATAGGTAACAGAATACGGTTGCTATTTTTTATTATTTACTTGTAATGTCTGATTTTGGCTCTAGTTGGGCATGTAAATCAGTGAGGTCACTGACTAAAGCCTGATTTATGCTTCTCCGTCTGCGTCAGTGCGGAGCACACGCAACGCCATTATCCGTCCTTGCGTAGGGATCCGGCAAGCACGCAAGTACGTACGGAGTCGAGCCCACTTTTTTAAACATCCGTCGAACGAGACGGATTACGCAAGATTGTGATTGGTCAGGATGCCGCTGTTGTTTACAGCGCCGCCATTGCAAAGAGAGCCGAGTTTAACTAGTGGCAGACACGGAGAAGCTTGAAGAATGCCTCGCGAAAAAACTCTAAAAATGTGAACGTTTCATCCTCCCGTGACTGGAGGAGTGAAAAGATGCGCAGCAAGCGTTTTATTTGTGGACGGAAATGACAGGAAATGTGGGTTTAGAGGTGGGGAGCGCATGAAGAGGTGGGAGAATGAGAGACAAATATGTCCGTGTTAAAAGTCTCTTATATACACAAAAAACACAATATAAACACACTATCTTGGACCGATACATGACATGATACCACAGAACAGTGCTACGCCCTCTGTGGTCCTGCCGGGCAATTGCTTTGCAACACTCTCCAGGAGACGGAGAAGTAAAAGAGCAAAACGCTTCCGTCAATCCGTGCGTGTCTGTCCCTTACGGAGCTGACAGAGAAGCATAAACCAGGCTTTACAGGCGAGCTACAACATCACCAAGGAGAAGTCTGTGTATCCTCTAGAACAAGGGGGTTCATAGTGTGGCCAGTGGGCCATTTAAGGCTTTGAAGTGATTTTGTGCGTCCCCCATTACGTTACGATGTTCACCCACCATCATCAATGAAGAATACCAGAAACTAGCCACTGACCTGTTATTGATCTGGCTAGCTGTGAGCATTGATCTAGTCAGAAAAGTACTTCCTGTCTCTGGAGACTCTACTTGCTCTGAGTGACGCACCCTTACCTTACTGTAGATAAATAACTGATGGAGCGTCACTTAAAAATGACCAAAATGTCAATTTAAAAAATTTACTAACTCAAGTCTGCACATAAATCGAACAAGATGGAAAAGTTAATCATAACACAAAGAATTAATCTTTTATTGACCTCGTCTTTTACTTAGAACTAAATTTGATGATGATTAGAACCACAAAGCCTCACTGGGTTTTACTAGAAAGCAGACTCGTGAGCAACATTCATACGACTTGACTTTTTGTTGTGATATTATCGGTCTATACTGGAATTAACATGTCGTATCGGAAAGTATCGGTTTTTACTCTTTTAACGACACAAATTTCACATACCATGCACATATTATACATCAAACTCTTCAGATACATCTCCCCTTTCTCAAAATATCACAATATGACAAATCTTAGGTTTAGTTTTTGAGATATTCTTGTTTGTTCAGCACAACTGGCCCAACTTTAACTGACGTAATTGTCATGTTTTGCACAGATAATGTCTAAAGCATAAGTATGCATGATAGGAGAAACAGGGCCAGTCCAAGCATTTGTGGGGCCCTAAGCAGGTTTAGCTTTGGGACCCTCCATACCATACAAGTCAACAGCAGATGATTCATCATACCATTTGTGTAAAATGCCCACTATCATTAGCATGTTTTGCAATTAGCTTACATCATACATTTGTTATTATGAATATCGATTTTACGTTTACAAACCAACAAAAACGCTCTAATTAATTTACATTTTGAAATGATGAGTGTTACTTAAGTGTGGTACATTAATTCAAATATTTGAAAGAAATATCAGCAGACACTTATATTAATTTATTTTTTCATGTGGGGGACTTTGCATATATTGGTATCTGTTTATGTCCGTATCAGAAGTTGAGTTACTCCTCCTATCCACCGGAGCCAACAGCAGCAAGTTACTGCAGCAGCACGTCTTGCTCGCGTATGCTGCTGCTTGGCCCTTCCCACGAGACGCGAAGCAGCAGGGGAGCAGCTGTCACCGACAGAGCATGAAGTCACGTGACATTAGCAAAATCACTCGTGACTTTGTCAGTAAACACAACAGCAAGCAGGAGAAAACTACAACATGGCTCACATAACTCACCATCTTGCCCCAAAACTGCAGATGCGTCACTCCATGCGTTATCCTTCTTGACGTTGTCTTTATAAAAACTGTGACTGGGATCAAACATGATTGGGTACTTCTACACTTCAGTAATCAACCGTTCGTCGTCCATTATGGAAAAACATAGGAGACCGCTAGCTAGGTGATAACTTTTTTTTCAAAGTAAAGCAACCGGAAGTCAGTACGTTTCTTTATTCTGAAAATCTCGGGAAGCTTCGCTCCGTTTCCGCGTCCGATTTCCTGTCTTTCCTTCCGCAAAAATGTCGAACTTGACCCGTTTCAGAGGCGTAGCGCATAGAAAATAGAACCGGCGCGTAAGGGCCGCGACATGCTGCTCCTGAGACGCAGCCGACTCGCGCTGCTGACGGCTCCGGTGGAAAAGGTTCTGTTGACTACAGCGGTTCCTATCAGCAGCTATGACATGCTGCTGCAGTAACGTGCTGCTGACGGCTCCGTCACGGCTCTGGTGGAAAGGAGGGGTAAAGGTTGGTTTATGCTTAACGCGTCCGCGAGGTTCGCGCGGCTCCTCGCGGAAAAGTTGCATCATTTTAACAACCACGTGCCTCCGCATGGCCCAAAATTTCCGCACTGTGCACCTAGGAAATTTTCTAACCATGCGGACGGTCAGACGCGGAAAAACATGGCGGACCGGCAAGAACTAGTATGGCAGAGGTTCGTAAACACAGACATTTGTATGATTCAGCTCTCAAAGATCACCGTGTTCAACATGTTGTTAATAATTCTTGGAGAGAAATAGCTCGCACTGTCAGAAAAGACGAGGACGCTGTTAAAAAATGCTGGAATGCCATGTTGTAAACAGTAATTTCTACTTCTACTATGGTGTAGTGTTGGATGCATGCCGTAGAGCTCCATGCTGCCCCGTTCAGTTTGGGAGAATATTGGCTCACCGCAGAGTCAAGCCGCATGAACCACGAACGCTGCGAGTTGTGAAGCGCGTTCCAGCCGCGAGCCGCATCACCAGCGGAAAGTGAATGCGTCAAGCATAAACCAAGCTTTAGACTATCGTATTTTCCGGAGTATAAGTCGCTCTGCAGTATAAGTCGCACCAGCCATAAAATGTATAATGAAGAAGAAAAAAACATTTATAAGTCGCACTGGACTATAAGTCGCATTTTGGGGTGAAATTATTTTATTTTTCTTACAAAATCTGAGACCAAGCATTTCACATTGCAAGACAAGTCCTGGTAACAATAACAGAATAAACAACACGGGCGCAGCAGCGCACCACGGTCTCCAGCAGAGGATGGCAGCGTTTCAAAGCCTTCCAGCAGCCGGGGAGAGCTCATTCCTGGGCCGGCGCTGGCCCGCAGCACCCCGCCACAGGCTGCAGCAGGTGATGGCGGTGTTTGAAACCCTCCCAGCGGGACAGGGGAGCTCATTCCTGGCTCGGAGCCACCCGGCCCGCAGCAGCTCGCCACAGACTCCAGCAGGTGATGGCGGGGAAGAGAAGCTGAAACCTGGACCGGAGCCGGTCCACAGCAGCGCGGTATACATAATTTGGTATATAAGTCACTCCGGAGTATAAGTCGCAGGACCAGCCAGACTATGAAAAAAAGTGTGACTTATAGTCTGGAAAATATGGTATATCGTAGGGCAGGACGATATAGAAAAAATAATATAGATAAATGTTTTTAATATTGATCAAAATTGACAATTATTGAAAAATTTTTTTTTTATATTTTACGTACAGCCCTGGCCATTTTATTTTTGGCATTTTATTTTTTTCTCTGCCTCTTCTCGTTGAGACATCTTGCTCTGTTTTGGTTTTTTTTTGGGGGGGGGGGGGGGGGGGGGGGGGGGGCTGGTGACCTAGCGTGCCCTAGTCTGTGGTTTTGATTGGTTAAGAGTAAGTAGTGAGTCTAGTATGCTGCTACCTGATAGGTTATAATGAAAAAAGGTTATAAGGAAAAAAGGAAACGTTTTATTGATCTTTTATTTTCTATCGCACCACATGTCCAACGATAAATATATTGAACTATTGAATTATCGTCCAGCCCTACTATATGAGTAAAAACCCGATATCGAACATCCCTAGCAAGTCCCTAGTCCAGGGAATTTGATGCTTTTCTTTTTTCTTTTTTTTAAAAGAAATGTCCCAGACCCTTTTATGTCTCATGTCTACCAAAGTTTACAGATTATTTTATATAAAATACTTTGTTCTTTTCATTCAGTTCAGTTCAATTCAATTCAACATTTTCACATTTTTTGATAACAAAAAAACACTTTTTTGTGGTATTTTTTCACTTTGGCAATTTAAACCCATGTCTTGAAAAATGTGGATTTGGATGTTTTAGAGAGAGTTCTAGGGGGTGGGAAGTCTTGTGGTCTGGTTTTCCACGGTTGTAGTTTGAGATTAAATCTTAAAAAAAAAAAAATGCATGAACAAGATTATTTTGATTAAGGTGTTTCCATTAAAACAGCTCAGTCCTGGATTAATTCAGGTTAGCTTAACCCATGGAGGAAGAGCTTTTATGAGATTATAGTCTTGCAGATTTTACAGTAATCTAGCTTCTGTAATGTGGAACCATCCACTCTCCTCTCAGGGTGTTTTCTTGCTGCTTCTAGTGTTTTGTGGTCCATCCAGCCATCCAGCCATTTTCATCCGCTTATCAGGAGTTGGGTCGCGGGGGAGGTAGCCTAAGGCGAGAGGCCCAGACTTCCCTCTCCCCAGCCACTTGGGCCAGCTCCTCCGGGGGAATCCCAAGGCGTTCCCTGGCCAGGTGAGAGACATAGTCCCTCCACCGTGTCCTGGGTCTACCTTTAGATCTCCTCCCGGTTGGACGTGCCCGGAAAACCTCACCAGGGAGGCGTCCAGGAGGCATCCTGACCAACTGCCTCCTCTCGATGTGGAGGAGCAGCGGGTCTACTCCAAGCCCCTCCCGTATGACCGAGCTTCACACCCTATCTCCAAGGGAGAGCCCAGCCACTCTTCTGAGAAAACTCATTTCGGCCGCTTGTATCCGCGATCTCGTTCTTTCGGTCACTACCCAAAGCTCATGACCATAGGTGAGGGTAGGAACGTAGATCGACCGGTAAATCGAGAGCTTCGCCTTCTGACTCAGCTCTCTGTTCACCACGACAGACCGGTACAACGCCCGCATCACTGCAGATGCAGCACCAATCCGCCTATTGATCTCGTATTGATCCAGTTTTCCCTCACTCGTGAACAAAACCCAGAGATACTTAAACTCCTCCACTTGGGGCAGGACCTCATCCCTGACCCAGAGAAGGCATTCGACCCTTTTCCGAATCAAGACCATGGTCTCAGATTTAGAGGAGGTGATTCTCATCCCAGCTGCTTCACACTCGGCTGCGAACCACTCCAGCGAAAGCTGAAGATCACGTTCTGATAAAGCCAACAGGACCACATCATCCGCAAAAAGCAGAAACCTGATCCTCAGGCCACCAAAGCGGATGCCCTCCACACCTTGGCTGCGCCTAGAAATCCTGTCCATAAAGGTTATGAACAGAATCGGTGACAATGGGCAGCCTTAGAGGAGTCCAACTCTCACTGGGAATGAGCCCGACTTACTGCCGGCAATGCGGACCAAGCTCTGACACCGATCATACAGGGACCTAACAGCCCATACCAGAGGGCCTGATACCCCATACTCCCGGAGTACCCTCCACAGGGCCCCCCGAGGGACGCGGTCAAACACCTTCTCCAAATCCTCAAAACCCATGTAGACTGGTTGGGCAAATTCCCACGCACCCTCCAGGATCCCCCTAAGGATATAGAGCTGGTCCAGTGTTCCACGGCCAGGACGAAAACCACATTGCTCCTCCAGAATCTGAGGTTCAACAATCCGACGGACCCTCCTCTCCAGAACCCCTGAATAGACCTTACCAGGAAGGCTCAGGACTGTGATCCCCCTGTAGTTGGAACACACCCTGCGGTCCCCCTTTTAAAATAAGGGAACTACCACCCCGGTCTGCCAGTCCAGTGGGACTGCCCCCGATGTCCACGCGATATTGCAGAGCCGTGCCAACCAACACAGCCCCACAATGTCCAGAGCCTTAAGGATCTCATCCACCCATGGAGACTTGCCACAGAGGAGCTTTTTAACCACCTTAGCGACCTCAGCACCAGAGATTTGAGAGGCCAACTCAAAGTTCCCAGACTTTGCTTCCTCACTGGAAGATGTGTCGGTGGGATTGAGGAGATCTACGAAGTATTCTGCCCACCGATCCACAACGTCCTGAGTAGAGGTCAGCAACACACCATCTCCACTATAGATAGTGTTGGTAGCGCACTGCCCCCAGGCGGTGGGAGGCTACCCTCTCATTCACTGAGGTAAACCCCAACGTACAGGCACCAAGCTGGGGGGCAACTAGTATGCCCACCCCTGCTTGGCGCCTCTCAATGGGAGCAAGTCCAGAGTGATAGAAAGTCCAACCCCTCCCAAGGAAACTGGTTCCAGAGCCAGAGCCATGCTTTGAGGTGAGTTCGACTATATCTAGTCGGAACCTCTCAACCTCAAAGTTTTGTGGTAATTTAGAGAAAGTTTGCAGCACAGAAATTACAAAGAGTTTGTTGGCAAAAATATTTAAATCACAGATTTTTAAAGTAAATAATAAAAAGATGCATTTTTAAAAATGTATGAAACTGTAGAGAATAAACTCTGAGCAATAATTTAATTTGCAAGTCAAAACTCAGTAATCAGGGCTGATTTGGTGGGAGTCGTTTTACATCTTTGCACCTGCTCACACCTGCTGAGAATGTTGATTCAAGTGCTTCTCACCTACAATGACCATTAAACAGTTTTAAGATGTTGTCTGAATGAAAAACTAAACAAAAAAAGCATCTTGCTGTTGGTTTTGTGACATGCAGCAGTTCTTATGAGCAGGATTTTAAAAAATCCTTTAACCAGCCTTTATCTAATAAATCCTTTAATGTGGTTGAAGTAAACAGATTTTTGTGTCTGCAGAGCTCGGTGAAGATCAACCAGATCAGTTTGGATGAAAGCGGTGAGCACGTGGGCATCTGCTCCGAGGATGGGAAGGTGAGATATATGCGCTCACCAGTACTGGTTACTGAGCCGCCATCTTTCCTAATTCATCAATTTATCAGCCTCTTACTTCATGATAATGACCTGGACATTGAGGTGTTTAGGAGCCAACCTGGAGTTTTATCACCAAATCAGCACATAAATCAATACTTTCGTTTGGAGAATACAAACAGCTTTGAGGAGCGGGTTTTTAAAGGCTTATGCTGAGCTGTCAGTCAGCCGTCTGCTGCTCGGTGGATACCCTCTCCATGCTCTTGCTGTTATCTTGTCTCCTCTCATCATTACCACCATCCTTCATGGATTTTGCAACCAAGATATGCTCGATGATACGGCCCTCCCCCTCTCACTTTGCTCAAAAAAACAAGATCTTGTCGCGCAAAAAGTGGAGCAGACAATTAGAGTCAACGCTACAGTCGCCTCCACTATTAATCCTTTGAAATCTAACTTAATACTAAATCACCGATGTGAGAATAGATAGGGTGGGATGATTTATTAAAAAATATTCACCCATCTTTTGGGGTTTTCAGATAAAGAATTGGCTGTGGTGTACAAGCTAAAGCTGCGGTCAAGTCCAAGATTAGGACTTCTGTTCTTAAAGCCTTCAGGCTTAAAAAAAAAATCCACTCATCCTCTAATTGGTGACCCAGAGGAGAAACCGAGGAGCCGATCAAAGTCTTTTCGGACCTCGCTTTCCTCCGCTGGCCTCGGACAGCTGCAGAGGCAGCAATTAAAGCAGAAACGTTGGGGTGTTCACCTGCTCTCTGTTCTGCTGCCTCATCTCCGCTCCAGGTTCAAGTGTTTGGCCTCTACACCAGAGAGGGCTTCCACGATAACTTCGACTGTCCCATCAAAGTAGGTTTTCATCTCAGAAACTTTGTGTTTTATGAAGATGTTTAGGAATAAAAACTTTCCTTTTCCTGCAGGCGGTCGCATTACACCCTCAGTTCAGCAGATCAAACTACAAACAGTTTGTCACTGGGGGCAACAAGGTAGGTTTTCTACCGCCGTGGTCATTACATCCAGTTTTTTTTTTATTTTGGGGCATTTACAGAAATTTCCTGCCACAATAATCCCACCCCACCCTTGTGATTGCGTCCAGGTGAAACCGATTCCTGTAAAAACGGAGTCACTTTGGCTCAACTGAAGGCAAAACTCGGGCCTTTTGTCTAGCGTGAAAGGCTCTTAGTTTCCCGTCTCGTTGCTGGAGTGCTCTCAGCCGAGCTGCCCATTTTCACAAAGTGCTATTCTCTCAACGGCGTTTCAAAAGCAATGCTTTACGGGCGCAGCAAATAGATGCCATTATAAAGAGGGTGCGTAGTCTCGGGGTTCTCAGACGCATGCGGTGATCTCTTAGGATGAATCTGGACATCAGATTTGTCTTTTTTTAACCTTTACACCATCTGCAGCACCATAACCGTGTCTTCACGGCTCATAAATAAGGTGCACGGATGTTTCTGCAGCAGTGTGAGGAAAAACTTTCTCTATGAAACTCCATTATTAGCGTCACTTTGCCATTCTGTGCGAATTGGCGCCGATTCCTCTCCGTTCCATGTTGTGAAGGCCTCGGCGAGATGCCGGTGATGAAAATCAATAAGCCTCAATGGGCGCCACATCCTGTCAAAGGAAATTCAATTTTGTCTCCCCGCTTCTTTTGTTGTGTCCTTTCTTTGTGGAGCAAACTGTTTATTAACATAGCCCAAATGCTGAATTAAAGGGACTTCTGTGATAATGTTAATGCCCCCTTATGAGGGGGAGGGAGGGGCTTTTATGTTTTTATCTAACGTGAAGCCAAGAAGATGGTAACCATGCAGGGAATGTGGCCAGAAATTCTACACACTCGATTGTGGTTAAACAGAAACACGTTTTTTTTTTCTCGCATCTGTCCCCACGTGACCCATACTGTGCTGCTTTTACTCCAGCAGGTCTTAAACTCTTCGTTTATGGCCTCCACGTTGTCTCACACTTGCAAATTTTCTCCACCATGCGTGGCTTTCAAATGACTTCTTCTCCCACCAGTGAACTTTTTTGCTTCATTGGAGTCAAATGAACAATTTGTCTTAATTTTCTTTACCACAGAGCTCTAAAGTGAAAATAATTCAATATAAAAGGAGGAAAAGCAGGTTTTGTGCCCTTTAAGGTTGAATTTCAAAAGCTTGGTGATGTGCTGTTTATCTACTGCCCTCTGTAGGACAGGCTGGAGTACTGCACTCTTGGCTTGATAGTGAATGTTTGTCTATCTTCAAGCTGCTGCTGTATGAAAGGAACTGGTTGAACCGCTGGAAGACTGTAGTTTTACATGAAGGTGAGGGAACAATCACGAACGTCCAGTGGAGAGCTAATCTCATCGCCTGGGCCAACAACTTGGTGAGGGACGCCTGATAAATCCAGTTTCACTGTGCGCCCGACGCCGACTGAGAGTCACGCCTTGTGTCTCTTTTAGGGAGTAAAAATCTATGACATCAGCACCAAGCAGCGGATCACCAATGTGTTGAGGGACAACTCCAGTCTGAGGCCTGACATGTACCCCTGTAGCCTCTGCTGGAAGGACGACACCACCCTGATAGTCGGATGGGGAACGTCTGTTAAGGTTCGGGTATTTATTTATTTTGTTTGTTTGTTTTTACTTTTATTTTTAGGTTTCAAATGTCATCTTGTGCTTTTTCTTCAGATTTGTGTGGTGAAAGAGCGAAAACCGACTGAAATGAGAGATTTGCCAAGCCGCTACGTAGAAATAGGTAAAAAAAAAAATAATAACACAAATCAGTAAGAAGCAGTTTATCCTTTCAACTTTTATTGAAAACAGCAATGAAAATAGATTTTTCTGCAGCTTGTAAATAATAATATTATATAAAAAGAAAAATATTAATGCAAAAATAATGGCATGGAATAATCATTAAGGTTTTCTTCAAACATTCCCATATTTTTAGAAATTTTTTTTGTGTAGTATTATTTTTTTTCCAGTGTCAGAGATGGAGATCTGTCGTTATTTTGATGCAATTTCTTCTATTTTTTTTTAAATATAAAAAGCATCCAAGAAGGCTGTATTAGAGGTCCGGACACTACATTTTCATGTCAAAGTGATCAGGCGTGAAACAAATCAGAAATAGTTAAGATGATGGCTAAAGAGTGAATTAAAGTGGATAAAATAATCTGATATTCTTCCATGTTTCCACTTAGATCCTTCACATTTTTGCTTCTTTCAGTTTCTGCGTTTGAGACGGAGTTTTTCATCTGTGGTTTGGCGCCGCTGGTGGATCAACTCGTCACTCTGTTTTTTGTGAAAGAGAACTCAGATCAGATGGTAACCGTAGCGCTAACACGGAGCATCTAAGTGCTGAGAATCAAATAAGAAGTGTTTATGTGTGCTTGCAGGACGAGGAGTTTCGCTCACGGCCTCGTCTCGACATCATCCAGCCATTTCCCGAGAGCTGCGAGGAGATCTCCTCAGACGCTCTGACTGTTCGCTCCTACCATGACAACGAGTGCAGAGACTACCGGCTTGGTGAGGACAAAAAACAAGAAGAAATGTCACAACACCATTAACTGCAGACTGATTTTATTATCTGTCGACTATTAAATGTCAGCTGTGATGTGCTGCACGCGGGACCATGAATGTATTTTCATTAACAGAGCATTCAGAGGGAGAGTCGCTCTTCTACATCATCAGTCCCAAAGACATCGTCGTGGCCAAAGAGCGAGACCAGGACGACCATATCGACTGGCTGCTTGAGAAGAAGAAATATGAGGTTTGTGCTGAACTTTTTTTAAACGCTGCTAAAGGTTACGATGCGATGTCGGGGTTTAATGTGGTTTACATGACAGGAGGCACTGATGGCTGCAGAGATCAGCTTCAAAAACATCAAGAGACACGACGTTCAGAAGATTGGAATGGCTTATATCAATCATCTGGTGGAGAACGGAGACTACGACGCTGCTGCGAGGTAAGCTGCTGGAGATGGAGATGTACGTGCAAATTTACCATCATGTGCGCCGTAGAAAACGTGTTGCCCTGTACACTGCCATGCATAAGCTGCGTGCATTTTACCCACAAGCTCCCTTCTCGCCGGGAGCATGATCTGGCAGTGAATGCCGAAATCACCAGATAATTGAAAGATCATGCATGATGTTGACAGTTCACATGATGACATGCAAGGAGAAAAACAACGGCATGTATCGAAAAAGTTACACGGTTTACTTTCTGCTATGAAGCTACAAAGATTTCACAGGAAATGATGTACTTTTTCTACTATTTAGGCAACTGGAAATCTGCATGACTTTTATTTTGAAAGTTTCCAGATGTTTTACACAGCTTTTAGGTTTTACTTCCTGTCTGGCCTGATCTAAACTTCGGAGCTTGACTTCTACGCTTCAGGGATGCTTCCACAACGTAACGCTTTGCAGACACTGGAAACTCACCCTTCCAGTATAACGCTAGCTAATTTCAGCATGCTACATTACAAGATGCCTGCACATCCAGTGGACAGGCCCGGTTACTTTGCTGCCCTGGCTGGATGCCAGAAGTATAATTTAGGTATAAAGCAGATAAAATAAAAAAGAAGCATGCAAAATGCATTAAACCATTTAAAGTCGTCGTCGTCTTCCTCTGCTTATCCGGGTCCGGGTCGCGGGGGCAGCATCCCAACTGGGGAGCTCCAGACTATCCTCTTCCCGGCCTTCTCCACCAGCTCCTCCGGCAGGACCCCAAGGCGTTCCAGGACCAGGCCGGAGATGTAACCTTTTCAACGTGTCCTGGGCCGACCCGGGGGCCTCCTGCCGGCAGGACATGCCCGAAACACCTCCCCAGGGAGGCGTCCTGGAGGCATCCTGACCAGATGCCCAAACCACCTCAACTGACTCCTTTCGATCCGGAGGAGCAGCGGTTCTACTTCGAGTCCCTCCCGAATGTCCGAGCTCCTCACCCTATCTCTAAGGCTGAGCCCGGCCACCCTACGGAGGAAACTCATTTCGGCCGCTTGTATCCGTGATCTCGTTCTTACGGTCATTACCCAAAGCTCATGACCATAGGTGAGGATTGGGACGTAGATCGACCGGTAAATCGAGAGCCTGGCTTTCTGGCTCAGCTCCCTCTTCACCACGACAGATCGGCTCAGCGTCCGCATCACTGCAGACGCCGAACCAATCCGCCTGTCGATCTCCCGATCCCTCCTACCCTCACTCGTGAACAAGACCCTGAGATACTTAAACTCATCCACTTGAGGTAGGACCTCTCCCACGACCCGGAGTTGGCAAGCCACCCTTTTCCGGTCGAGAACCATGGTCTCAGATTTGGAGGTGCTGATCCTCATCCCAGCTGCTTCACACTCGGCCGCTAACCTACCCAGCAAGGTCAGAGCTGGATGAAGCTAGGAGGACCACATCATCCGCAAAAAGCAGAGATGAGATTCTCCTGCCACCAAACTCGACACACTCCACACCACGGCTGCGCCTAGAAATTCTGTCCATAAAGGTAATGAACAGAACCGGTGACAAAGGGCAGCCCTGGCGGACTCCAACCCTCACTGGGAACAGGTCCGACTTACTACCGGCTATGCGGACCAAACTCACGATCCTCTGGTAAAGGGACTGTATGGCCCTTAACAAAAGGCCACCCACCCCATACTACTGGAGCGTCCCCCACAGGGTGCCCCTGGAGACACGGTCATAAGCCTTCTCCAAATCCACTAAACACATGTGGATTGGTTGGGCAAAATCCCATGCCCCCTCCATCACCCTTGCAAGGGTATAGAGCTGGTCCACAGTTCCACGGCCAGGACGAAAACCACATTGCTCCTCCTCAATCTGAGATTCAACTATCGATCGGACCCTCCTCTCCAGTACCTTGGAGTAGACCTTTCCAGGGAGGCTGAGGAGTGTGATCCCCCTATAGTTGGAACACACCCTCAGGTCACCCTTCTTAAAGATGGGGACCACTACCCCGGTCTGCCACTCCACAGGAACTGCCCCCGATGACCATGCAATGTTGCAGAGATGTGTCAACTACGACAGCCTTACAACATCCATAGCCTTGAGATACCCAGGATGAACCTCATCCGCCCCCGGGGCTCAGCCGCTGTGTAGTTGTTTGACTACCTCAGCAACTTCTGCCCCTGATATTGGACAGTCCATCCCCAGGTCTCCCGTCTCTGGTTCCTCCTCGGAATGTGCGTAGGTGGGATTGAGGAGCTCCTCAAAGTATTCCTTCCACCGTCCGACTATAGCCCCAGTTGACGTCAGCAGCTCCCCATCCCCACTGTAAACAGTGTGAGCGAGTTGCTGCCTTCCTCTCCTGAGGCGCCGGACAGTTTGCCAGAACCTCTTTGGCGCCGATCGATAGTCTTTCTCCATGGCCTCACCAAACTCCTCCCATGCCCGAGATTTTGCCTCGGCAACTACCACTGCTGCACCCCGCTTGGATATCCGGTACCTATCTGCTGCCTCCGGAGACCCACAGACCAGCCACGCCCTGTAGGCCTCCTTCTTCAGCCTGACGGCTCCCCAAACCTCTGGTGTCCACCAGCGGGTACGGGGATTGCCACCACGACTGGCACCGGCCATCATGCGACCACAGCTAGCAACAGCCGCCTCAACAATTGCAGAGTAGAACAAGGCCCACTCTGAGTCAATGCCCCCCACTGCTCTCGGGGCGCGTTCAAAGTTCTGCCAGAGGTGGGAGTTTAAAATATAAACTTAAAGTGACTAAAAGTGACCATGTGTATTTTCCCTGACGATATGGGGCAGTACATACCCAAATCAGGGTCAAAAATCCCTGGTAGCGCAATCTCCAGCAAAATGACGAGCACATCAGCCTCCCTTTCATCACTGGCAACGATTGAAGAGGTAAATGTGTAAAACAACAACGTTTATGAATGGAGAAAGTTTTGTATCCGTTTGTTACATTTCAGTAAATGTGCTTTGTCCTCACGGGCTCCCGTAGAAGGAAACTTGGCATCTAATATGGCGTCGCCCAAAATGTAGACCCACTCCCATGTATTTTAGACCAATTTTTATGGTTATTTATTATGAAGCTGCCATTATTTTTCAACAACAGGGCATTGTCTGTTTCATTTTTCAACATTTCAATGGATATTTCCAGAGGTTAATGGTAAAATAAATACACAGTAGCTATGTTTACATGCACCAAATTTCCCCTATCCGATTTTAATCTTGGTTCATCGGAAATCCCAAATCTCTGTTTATATGGACACTAACTGAAATGATCCCATCATGCCGTGAGTATACATGCACCAAGCATTCAGTCAGATTAAATAGGTTGAGCATGTGCAGAGTTGTCTTTCTCGGAAAAAAATTGTACACAAACATCATCTTGTCTGTACGTCTTTCCCCTCGCAATTTATTTTTTTATTCTCTAGCTTTGTCCGGTGACTTACGTTTTTCCCTCGTTATGTACCTTTGTCGCGTTTATACCTGTATGCTTTTTAACTAAGCTGCAGGCTCAGCGGTATGTAACGCTACTGCTCCGCCACAGGAGAGGAGAGCAGGATAACCTACTAACGATCACCCGCCCACACCGTCCTCCAGCTCCTCCCACTTGTCCTAAGCGGCTGCAAAGGCAGAAAGACATTGCGCTGAAGTTGTACACATGCACAGTGGGCATTGTTTTACTCCAACAATCCGTGTACATGGACGTCCACTGGAATGATGATCGGACAAAAAGACCTCTTAATCAGAATGGGATTTCATTCCGATCGTGCCGCATCAGATCAGAACGTTCCGATTCTTTACATGAAAAATTTTTTATCTGAGAGGTTGTTCATTCTGATTACTTGTGCCAATGTAAACGTAGCTATTGTCTCTTTAAAGAAGTGACAATGCAGTTTTTTTACTTGGAAACCTTGTTATTACAACTTAACCAGGTGCTTCATTCACCTGAAATAAAATTATTCTTCCAAATCTTTATATACTTAATAATCTACTAGTGATTTATTTTGTCTTCAGCTTGTTTTGGATTGTTTGGACAACTTTTGTTTGAGAAACAACTATTGAAAAAAGCCCCAAACTAAACTTTTTGGTGAAATGAAGCAAACATAAAACACCTTATTTATGAAAGTTTCCAATTTCAAAGGAAAATCTCTATGTAAATAAATTACCTACATCTAGAGAAACTGGGTCAAGCAGCAAGACAGCAAACACACTCACACATGTTGGTGGATTTAAATGTGTGTGTTTGATGTACCACATCAAAGTCTTGACGCATCTGAGGTGAGGAGCTGGTCGGAGTAAAACCTTCCAAAGAAAAATAGAGTTAAAGTGTGTCTGAGTTTAAATTCATCTGAAATTATGTGCAGGACTGAGATAATAATGATAATAAAAACCTAAATTCAAAAGTTCACAAATTTCCACTGTTGTGTGGATGGATCACAATTTGGACAAATATACATGAAGCCTGAATTATTAAATGCATTTTATTTTTCTTCACTGCAGGAAATGTCAGAAGGTTCTAGGAAAGAACATGGAGCTGTGGGAGAACGAGGTCTACAGGTTTAAGACCATCGGCCAGCTGAAGGTGGACAGTTTAAGAAAACAAAAATGTTTTCATGAGTTGCTATCGTTACTGTGGTTGTGAAACTGCCACCAGATGTCAGAATATTTGTCTGGAACGTGTTCAGCTTTGGTCTCTGGTCCCTCTAACCGTAGGCGATCAGTCAGTATTTGCCACGAGGAGATCTGCGTCTCAGACCGGCCATCTATGAGATGATCCTGCATGAGTTTCTAAAATCTGATTATGAGGTATTTTGACTTATCATATTCTTTCCTTTCAGTTTTACAAAGCAGGCAATTAGACACAGCTAATAAAATGTAAAATCAATATTACAATATTTTGGGTCTTTATTGTGAAAAGCAGCATCTTATAGCCACTGAATTACTCCGTAAATAAACCTCATTTAATGTTGGTTCTCAGTCATTGGCTCCCGCATCTTTATTCCATCAAGATAAACAACAAAAGCATTATAGCTGACCTCATTTAACTGATCGGTAATTTCCTCACTTATTTGTCATTAAAGCATGATGATCAGTGTTTAATACACAGCTGCACTGGGACCAGAACTAAACAACACCCGTTTGATGATGGCAACAATCAAACGTTCACCTCATAATGTGTTTATAGCTAATAATAATTTTAGCTACTGTTAGCTTGCTAAATGGTTGCCAGTGAAATCTCAGAGCATTCACCCTATCTTGGCGTGACGAAAGCAACAAATCCTGGCAAAAACGAGCTTGTTCAAAACTTTTTTCAAAGGTGTGGGACACTGAAAAACCATTTTTAATGATTATTTCTGGTCACTGAGCTTTTTAAGCATGCGGAACATGAAAATAATCTCCTGCATTAGCTTCTGATAGACAACAGACGGTGAAACTCTAGGATTAGAAAAGCCTGACAGATCTACATCACGCTGTCACTTAACATTTATGGACTCGTCCATCTTGACTCGCAACGGGGAAGGCTGTTGTTTGTTTAGCGTCCATGAGCCAGCAGTGAAAGACTCGACTAGCAGAGCTAACTGTTAGCATTAGCAACACCACCACACGGCAGAAGCTCCTCCAGGCTTGTGTTTTTTGTGGAGATAAAACATCCACGCTGCAAGTCAGTGCTGGAGTGGTGTTGCTGTTATCCAGTCTGAGGCAAGATGTCCAAATAACAGAAAATAACACTTCAAAACCCGCCGTTTGTAGCTCAGCTGTGATGTGGGTCACTTTTAGTTCCTAGAAATGGTGCAGCGGTATTATTCCTCCACCTGCTGGAGAGTTCTAAAGATGTAAGAGAAGTTTTCTGGTTGGGAGACAAAATGAAATGGAAAAAGGATTAGATCTAGATGGCTGAAAACCAGCTACTAACGTGTGTACCTACTATAGAAATGCACTCATTGCTCTTTAATCTTATTCCTTTTCTTATTTTCCTGAAGGGCTTTGCCACGCTGATCCGGGAGTGGCCTGGAGAACTTTACAACAACATGGCCATCGTTCAGGCCGTCACTGACCACCTGAAGAAGGATCCGACCAACAGCACGCTGCTCACCACGCTGGCTGAGCTGTGAGTCGCCTCAGCGCTCGCTTTCATCTAAGCTTCTTGTTAAGTTGCTGAACAGGACTTGATGCTTTCCCAGGTACACGTACGACCAGCGCTACGACAGAGCTTTAGAGATCTACCTGAGACTGAGACACAAAGATGTCTACCAGCTGATCCACAAGCACAACCTGTTCTCCTCCATAGAGGACAAGATCGTCCTCCTGATGGACTTTGATAAGGAGGTAACAAACCAACCTATTTATTATTTAGTCCATCTAAAGACCATTTATGTAATTAAATGTGTACGTTTTCATTAGAAAGCTGTTGACATGCTTCTTGACAATGAAGACAAGATTTCTGTGAGTAAATTTGACAGTTTTGAATGTCCTGGTAAGAACTTTGCTGCTAGCTGATGTCCATGGCTCTCCCGACAGATGGACAGGGTGGTGGAGGAGCTACATGGTCGACCTGAGTTGCTGCATGTGGTGAGTTTTCTGTAACTTGGATGTTTTAGGGGTTCATTTGAATTCATTGGTGCAGCGTGATGGGTAAGCCGTTTCTCTCCTAGTATCTCCATAAACTGTTCAAGAGGGACCACCACAAAGGACAGAAGTACCATGAGAAGCAGATCGGCCTGTACGCCGAATACGACCGGCCAAACCTTCTGCCTTTTCTGAGAGACAGCACTCACTGCCCTCTTGAAAAGGTACTGTGTGTTCCTGCCACCAGAATTACAAACAAATTAAGCTTCTGTCATTTCTTCTTACTTGAACTTTGTCGTTTTCATCCAGGCTCTTGAGATTTGTCAGCAGAGGAACTTTGTGGAAGAGACGGTCTTCCTGCTAAGTAAACATTTAGAAACAAACGCATCTGTTAAGGGAAACGTGAGAAACAAATGCAATTTTTTTTTCTCGTTCGTCTTTCAGGCAGGATGGGAAACTGTAGACGAGCCCTGCAGATGATCATGGAGGAGCTGGAGGACGTGGACAAAGCCATCGAGTTCGCTAAAGAGCAGGATGACGCAGAGCTGTGGGAGGACCTCATCTCGTACTCGATCGACAAGCCGCGTAAGACGTCACTTGACTCTGAACTTTTATCTCATTGTCTTTAACTCACTCCACGCCTCCTAAACCCAGCGTTCATCACGGGCCTCCTGAATAATATCGGCACGCATGTTGATCCGATTCTGCTCATCTATCGGATCAAGGAGGGCATGGAGATCCCGAATCTCAGGGACTCGCTGGTGAAAATCCTCCATGACTACAACCTGCAGGTCAGGTGGCTTCTCTCAAAGAAAAACTCTATTTATTTAAATGTCTGCAGGTTGCAGACTGATTCTTTGGTGGCTTAAAGATTACATGACACACCAGGAGCTTCCTTCATGTAGAAACTTGTTATTAATCCATTCAGTTCTGCTTTTTGAAGAGTTATAACAGTTTAACAGGTCATTTAATTGGTTTATATGGCATGAAATCTTCTGACTCACTTGCTTAATTACGCGCTTTTATTTCTCGACTTGTAGATTCTTTTAAGGGAAGGGTGTAAGAAGATCCTGGTGGCCGACTCCCTCTCCTTGCTCCAGAAGATGCATCGAACCCAGATGAGAGGAGTCCGGGTCGACGGTGGGAGCAGATTCTATTGCTAGTTTGTGTTGAACCAGTGCAGATGAACCCCTAAATGTGTTGTTTCTGTTCATTCTTTCAGAGGGGAACATTTGTGAGTCGTGTCATGGTACTATATTACCATCAGGTGGGTTGATAATGTCATTGATCCCTGTGGTTTTTTTTGTTTTTTTTTTTTATGTTTACTGTATTAACAGCTTCGTGTGTGTGTTTCAGACATGGCCCAGCCTTTCAGTGTGGTGGTGTTCCACTGCAGACACATGTTTCACAAGGAGTGTTTGCCGTCTTCAGGAATAGTAAGTCTGCATTCAAACACCTCTTTCCCAACTCTGGTGTTATTTTATCAGAAAACCTCAGGAACATCCTCCACTTTGTTCCCATTTTTACCTTTCCAGATTCCTGGAGTGCAGTTCTGTAACATTTGCAGCGCGAAGAGGCGAGGACCTGGAAGTGGAATACTCGAAATGAAAAAGTGACACTTTAATGCCCTCATGTTGTTGTTATTGATGCTTTTTGTCTCCTTTTTTCCCTCGTCGGTACGCTGATGAACAGGAATCTTTTTTCCTCGGTTGATGAACTGTACTCTCACCAAAATACAGAACTGTTACCCTTTATTTGTTTACTAACTGTAAAGTGCCGTGTTTTGTCCAGATCACCTTGAATGTGATGAAGAATAAAATCACATAAACTCTAACTGTGTTGTTGATGCTTTATGTCATCCAAAATGCTTCTTAGGTTGAGAGTATCATAAATCATCAAAATGAGTTGCTGAGTGCGTCACGGGAGTTTGGTGCTCTCTACGGCCAATGCAAGAGCAACAGCTTCATTTTCTGTACAAATTTAAGTTCATTACTGGTTTGCGTCGATTCATCCAGGGTGTATCCTGTTTGTCTGGCATTCATGAACAAGATCTCATCTTGTAGTCGCAGAGATCTCATCTGTGCTTTATTGCACATCCTTATATAATTCAATTATTTGGCTGTCTAGTTGACAAGTGAGGACTGGATGGAGCAAAAGATGGGCCGGTGGATTGGGGCTTTGCAGTTGTAGCCGGTGCTTCATAACTTGTTCTTGTTGAAAGAATAAAAGGACGAAAATGCTCTTCATTGGTCCATCTACATTCCCACCCTCACTGGTTTGGATAACCAAAAGTAAAAGATCCCAAATAAAAGCAGCTAAAAGGAGCTTCTTTAGAGAAAAGATGAAGAGCTCCATCATCCAGGGGAGTTCCTATACATTTTTTGTCAGTATTTTCTTTTAGGATTTATGGGTCTAAAGCAAGCCGTTTCAAAAAGTACCTGTCTGTGATGTCACAAATGGTAAAATTAGAATAGAACCACCTCACACATGTAAGCGAGAGCTGATGCTAGAGGAGCAGCTACTCTATTCCAAGCCCCTGCTGAACATCGGAGCTTCTCAGCTTATAGCAGTCTGGGGAAGGATAAGTGACTGTGGTCAGCTCCAGCTTATTTTCTTAAAGTGACTGTGCACTAAAATGGCTAATTTTGTAAGGTACTGAAAATGTCAAAAATAAAATAGCTGAAATGACTGTGAGAGAAATTAAGTGCAAAGGACTTAATATGCTTTGTATCAACCATTGAACTATTATAACAAATAAACAAAATATGTCCTCTTTAATGATTGTTTTAAGAAATGTATCTTTTTTCTTATATTTGTATTTTATTTGTGTAAAATTAATCATTGCTCTTATAGTTTTCCCTGTTTGTGAAAATTAAGCAACCTCAATAGGCATTTTTTTACTTGTTTTTAACAATAACATTTTTATATAAAATTTTATAATATAGATAAAATATACAAGAGGAAATAAAAATATTTAATGTAAATTTTACATAAGTAATAAATATTTAAAAGTTGGCTTTTAATGCAGGTTGAGCGCCGTTACGTCACATCCGCTTTTTTCTCCGGAAGTACAGTTAATTTTTATTCAGAGGAGAAAAAACAGCTTCTGTTGTGAAAGAAAACATCAAAGTGAGTTTCACAGGTGAATATTTTCGCGGTTTTACTTTCTGGTTAATGGTGGTACCATATGAAAGCTTCTGTCGAGCCTCCGCGCTGCTGTTTGGGTTGAGTTTATCTCTTCGCTCATTTGTTGCGAGTTGATAGCCGCTAACATTAGCTTCTAGCTATCAGCTAACTGGCCGTTTCTGACTCCCAGCTCAGCTTAGTGACAACTCTAGCTGCCCTCTGTCAGACAATTCACTCAAATAACTTTCACGAGAGGTAAATATTGGATGGAATGTTACTGGAACGCGGCGTAACTTGCTGCTTACCTATTTTAACTCTTGTTTGTGCCTACCGTTAGCCAGGCTTGTTGCATGTTTGATAAAACAGGTCACACTTGGCAAAAGAGGGTTTATCTGATGCGCATTGTTTTTCATTCGATTAAATCAAATGTAAAATTAGGAGAGCTCTTAAAGTGCAAGACAATGTGACGCAATTTTTAAAGTGACATTATGTACATGTTTGAGCTTTGTGAAACATTTTCACAGAATGCCTGACCAAAAGAGAGAATCCGATCCTCATGAGCCGCAGCCCAAGCTGAGGAAGTTGGATGAGGATGCAGAAGCTCTGCCATCTAAAATTGGACCAGCTACCAATTCCCTCATAACAGGACAAATGAAAGAACAGACTGAAGCTGCTCCACGGACTAAGAAAAAACGCTCTTCATCTGGGGAAGGGGAAAGTTTGCCAGCTAAGTCATCAAAACAGGATTCTTTTCCAGAAGATTCCAGCAAAACGACCTCTGACCCACGCCTTCTAAAAGCCAAGCTCCTGAACGCCACAAGTGCCTCCTGTGGAGAAGCTCCCTCACAGAGAGCAAACTCCAATGCTTCCCTTAAGCGATCTGCCTCTACAGAGTCTGACGAGGATCTGAGTAGTGATGGTAGTAAGTCTGACTTCTTCAGACAGCGGGATGATGAAGACAAGGCACACTGCATCAGAAAAAATTACAAGAAAACTAAATGCAAAGCTGAAGAGTCGTCTGATCTACTTGAAGGTTTACCCTCCTCACCTGCGGATCCTGTGCAGATGGACCATAATTATGGCAGGTTCTCAGATGCCACGTCTCCAGAAAGCACAGAGGACGCCAATGAAAAAACAAGCAGGTTTTTCTCTCAACAAGGGAAACAAGAAACACCACATAATGCAAAAGAAAAGGTGTCAACAGGCACCTCAGAGCCAGAAACGAGGAGCATCGAGGCAACTGTTGAAATTGACTCTGCAGCTGAAGAAAGTAAACATAATGAATTCAAAGATATGGAGAGCCACATTAACCTTGATAATAAAGCATCAGCATCTTCTGGAGAAGTTTTGGACTCTGTCACACCTGTTGGTGAGGAAAATGAACAGACAGATCAAGCGGAGTCCATCAGAAGCCAAAGGGATGTAGATAATGAAACAATAGCACAATCAGAGGAAACACTATGCTCTGCTATTGTAGAGGTGACCTCTAGTGGGAGAAGTGATGAACCTGCAGATGATGAGACTGATTTAGCTTTCATATCAGAGAGTCGGACTCACCTGAGCGACCAGTCTGTTTCAGAAGGTGATGGTCAGAGTATAAGATGTAAATTTAAGGATGGAGAAGTAGTGGGACAACTAGATGAAGTTCTGTTGAATAAAACAACTTCTGCTCCAGAGCAGGTAGAAATTTTTTATCCCTCGATTGAGACTGACAAAAACGCGACAACTGAGCATGTTGCCATTCCAGAAACTCAAACGGAGCTTAAAATTCAATTATCATCAGCAGAGAAGCTCAATGCTGCAGATACAGTTGTCCGCTTGTGTGATGATGTGAACGACACACTTAAAAAGTCTGAGGAAACACTTGAAGAAAATGTTCAAGAGCCTGCTGACGTTTCCCATCCTGCTTCTTGTCCTGGACCTTTGGTTGAAGGAGAAACAAACCATTTCTTTGAGATATCTGACAGCTGTACCGACACTTCACCTGAATGTAAGAGTGTTCATGAGGAAAATAAAATTGAGAGGTTAGCTGAAAAGAATCTGGTTCCAGAGGGTCAAATAACCCCTGAAGTGGATTTACAAAGTCAAGAGAATCACCTGGTTTATGACAGCATAACAAACGCAGCTGCTGAGGTTAAAGAGGATGTTGTGATCAGTCACTGCTTTGCTTCACCAGATACCCAAATTCAAGAGAATTCTAATCCAGATGTTACAGTAGAAACACAAAGCCAGGAGGTTTATGAATCTGCCACAACCCTGTCTACACATGTTGATGAGGATAATGTGGAGACGTTAACAGGAAACCAAGAGTGTGAGAGTCTAGAAACACTGACTGTAGAAGCATCAGGGATCTCTGATCCAGTGCCTCCATCTGCTGAGGTTCACGATGATGGTGTCACAGCTGATAAATGTGAAAATAGCCTTGAACGTGCTGGTCCAGCTGAAAATCAGAGTGCAATGGAAACACAGACTGTTGAAGTGGAACTTCAAGAGGATCCAGTCAGTGAACCCATCTCTGATGAAGATCAAAGGGATCCAGAAAATGCGAGTAGTGACGCTGGTGAACGTGTCGAAGCTGCAGCTGAGAGTCTAACAGGAGTTGAACTACAGACTGCTACTGTGTCAGAGGAGACACAGAACAAAAAAATGCACATTCAGATGAACCAAGACGTCAGTGGTCACACCTTCGACATAAATGTTGAAGCTCAGAGAGGTGTGCAGAATGATAACCGTGCTGCTAAAGTTCAGATATCGCATGATGTAGAGGCTGTGGTCTCATCAAAGGATGCTTCTAGTGTGATGGAAGAAGCAGAAGAAACGCAGATGGTCAGTAAACTTACGCCTGACACGTCAACCCAATCTCAGACAGTTTGGGAGGATAAATCTTTTAAGAACTGTGAAGAAAGTGAATCTGTTTCTGCTGCTGTTCAGAGTCGAACAGAAATTGGCGAAGATGTAAAAGCCTTGTCAAAGGAGGTCTCACCCATAAAGGTAATACAAAGTCAGATGGTCAGTGAACCTATCGCTGACATGCCTGAGGAAACTCACAGAGATCTGGAGAATGCAAACTGTGTTGCTCAGATTCAAACAGAAGATGGTGTAGAGGCTGACTTCTCATCAGATGAGGCCTATAAGGTGATGGAAGAAGAAAATCAGGTGGTCGTTAAGCCTACGACTGACGCATCGAATGAAACTCCGACAGTTCGGGATGCTGCTGCTGCTCAAACTCAAATAGAAGTTGGCGAAGAGGCAAATGCCACATCAGAGGAGGTATCTAATGTTGCTTCCATAAAAGAACTGCAAACCCAAATGGTCAGTGAACCTCCCACTGGGATACCTGAGGAAACCCACAAAGAACCAGAGAGCTCAACTTTAAAAACCGGTGATGTGATGTTTGTTTCTGCTGCTGCTCAGAGTCAAACAGAAGATGGCGTAGAGGCTGAAGTTTCATCAGCGGAGGTTTCTAATATGATGGAAGAAGTAGAAGAAACTCAGATGGTCAGTAAACCCATGGCTGACATATTGAATGAAACTCGGACAGTTTGGGAGGATGCTGCTGCTCAGAGTCAAACAGAAGTTGGCAAAGAGGCAAAACCAGAGGAGGTCTCCATCATCAGATCTATGAACATAATTCAAAGTCACATGGTCAGTGACGACCACATAGAACTGGAGAGTACAAATTGTGTTGCTGAGATTCAAATAGAAGATTGTGTAGAAACTAAAATCACATCAGACGAGGCGTCTAATATTGCTTCAATAGAAGAAATGCAAGCCCAGATTGTCAGTGAACCTATCACTCACATACACGAGGAAACTCACAGAGATCTGGACAATGCTAATGGTGTTGCTCAAATTCAAATAGAAGATGGCGTAGAGGCTGAAGTCTCATCAGAGGAGGCTTCTAATATGATGGAAGAAGCAGAGGAAACTCAGATGGTCTGCCAACCTACGACTGACATATCAATTGAAACAGTTTGGGAGGACGCTGCTGCTCAGAGTCCAGCAGAAGTTGGAGAAGAAGCAAAAATCGTATCAGAGAAGGCGTCCAATATTGTTTCAATAGAAGAAATGCAAACCCAAATGGTCAGTCCCACTGGGATACCTGAGGAAACCCACAAAGAACCAGAGAGTTCAACTTTAAAAACTGGTGATGTGATGTTTGTTTCTGCTGCTGCTCAGAGTCAAACAGAAGTCTGCAAAGAGGCAAAACCAGAGGAGGTCTCCATCATCACATCTATGAACATAATTCAAAGTCACATGGTCAGTGACGCCCACAGAGAACTGGAGAGTACAAATTGTGTTGCTGACATACAAATAGAAGATTGTGTAGAAACTAAAATCACATCAGAGGAGGCGTCTAATATTGCTTCAATAGAAGAAATGCAAGCCCAGATTGTCAGTGAACCTATCACTCACATACACGAGGAAACTCACACAGATCTGGACAATGCTAATGGTGTTGCTCAAATTCAAATAGAAGATGGCGTAGAGGCTGAAGTCTCATCAGAGGAGGCTTCTAATATGATGGAAGAAGCAGAGGAAACTCAGATGGTCTGCCAACCTACGACTGACATATCAATTGAAACAGTTTGGGAGGATGCTGCTGCTCAGAGTCCAGCAGAAGTTGGAGAAGAAGCAAAAATTGTATCAGAGAAGGCTTCCAATATTGCTTCAATAGAAGAAATGCAAACCCAAGTGGTCAGTCCCACTGGGATACCTGAGGAAACCCACAAAGAACCAGAGAGTTCAACTTTAAAAACCGGTGATGTGATGTTTGTTTCTGCTGCTGCTCAGAGTCAAACAGAAGATGGCGTAGAAGCTGAAGTTTCATCAGCGGAGGTTTCTAATATGATGGAAGAAGTAGAAGAAACTCAGATGGTCAGTAAACCCATGGCTGACATATTGAATGAAACACAGACAGTTTGGGATGCTGCTGCTGCTCAGAGTCAAACAGAAGTCTGCAAAGAGGCAAAACCAGAGGAGGTCTCCAACATCACATCTATGAACATAATTCAAAGTCACATGGTCAGTGATGCCCACATAGAACTGGAGAGTACAAATTTTGTTGCTGAGATACAAATAGAAGATTGTGTAGAAACTAAAATCACATCAGAGGAGGCGTCTAATATTGCTTCAATAGAAGAAATGCAAACCCAAATGGTCAGTGAACCTCCCACTGGGATACCTGAGGAAACCCACAAAGAACCAGAGAGCTCAACTTTAAAAACCGGTGATGTGATGTTTGTTTCTGCTGCTGCTCAGAGTCAAACAGAAGATCTAGAAGAGGCGAAGTCCACTTCAGGTGAAGTCTCTAAGATTGCTCCTGTAGACCAGGTGCAAACCCAGATTGTCAGTGAACCTATCACTCACATACACGAGGAAACTCTCATAGATCTGGACAATGCTAATGGTATTGCTCAAATTCAAATAGAAGATGGCGTGGAGGCTGAAGTCTCATCAGAGAAGGCTTCTAATATGATGGAAGAAGCAGAGGAAACTCAGATGTTCTGCAAACCTACGACTGGCATATCGAATGAAACAGTTTGGAAGGATGCTGCTGCTCAGAGTCCAGCAGAAGTTGGAGAAGAAGCAAAAATCGTATCAGAGGAGGCATCTAATATTGTTTCAATAGAAGAAATGCAAACCCAAATGGTCAGTGAACCTCCCACTGGGATACCTGAGGAAACCCACAAAGAACCAGAGAGCTCAACTTTAAAAACCGGTGATGTGATATTTGTTTCTGCTGCTGCTCAGAGTCAAACAGAAGATGGCGTAGAGGCTGAAGTTTCATCAGCGGAGGTTTCTAATATGATGGAAGAAGTAGAAGAAACTCAGATGGTCAGTAAACCCATGGCTGACATATTGAATGAAACTCGGACAGTTTGGGAGGATGCTGCTGCTCAGAGTCAAACAGAAGTTGGCAAAGAGGCAAAACCAGAGGAGGTCTCCATCATCAGATCTATGAACATAATTCAAAGTCACATGGTCAGTGATGCCCACATAGAACTGGAGAGTACAAATTGTGTTGCTGAGATTCAAATAGAAGATTGTGTAGAAACTAAAATCACATCAGAGGAGGCGTCTAATATTGCTTCAATAGAAGAAATGCAAGCCCAGATTGTCAGTGAACCTATCACTCACATACACGAGGAAACTCACACAGATCTGGACAATGCTAATGGTGTTGCTCAAATTCAAATAGAAGATGGCGTAGAGGCTGAAGTCTCATCAGAGGAGGCTTCTAATATGATGGAAGAAGCAGAGGAAACTCAGATGGTCTGCCAACCTACGACTGACATATCAATTGAAACAGTTTGGGAGGATGCTGCTGCTCAGAGTCCAGCAGAAGTTGGAGAAGAAGCAAAAATTGTATCAGAGAAGGCTTCCAATATTGCTTCAATAGAAGAAATGCAAACCCAAATGGTCAGTCCCACTGGGATACCTGAGGAAACCCACAAAGAACCAGAGAGTTCAACTTTAAAAACTGGTGATGTGATGTTTGTTTCTGCTGCTGCTCAGAGTCAAACAGAAGATCTAGAAGAGGCGAAGTCCACTTCAGGTGAGGTCTCTAAGATTGCTCCTGTAGACCAAGTGCAAGCCCAGATTGTCAGTGAACCCACCACTGACATGTCTGTTGGATTTCCAGAAGAAAATGTGAAAACTGCTGAAAATAAGGAGGTGGAATTTGAATCTGTGGCTGTAACGCCATGTCAGATGGAAGTGGAGGATCAGTCATATCCAGCTTTTTCAGTGGGTGTAAATAAAATCCAAACAGAGATGGACACACAGATGGCAGAGAAGAGTTCCAATGGTGTTTTTGGGGTTGGATCACAAACTCAGACAAACCTGGACTTTAGTGGACAAGCAAAAGACGAGACATCTGAAGACGTTCATGAAGACATGATGGTAGAAGCTCCACAAAATATGGAGATAAACTCAGAAAATGTGACTGAACAAGAAAACCAAACCCAACAGATCACAGCTGAATCAGAGATTTCTGCAGCAGCTCCTCTTGTGGAAATGCAGAGCGAGAAAAACGAGAATGAAACATCTGAGCAGGTTTCTGCAGAAGAAACACAGAGCCAGCATGTCGGAGAACAAATTACAGATGTAGAGTCTGTAAATGTTGCTGTAGGTCAAAATGAAACTCAAACATCGCCGCTTTCAGTGGAAACTCTGATCCAGACGCGTCTCGGTGTCACTGAACCCGGCAGATCTCAACTGCAAAGTCTCAGGAGTTCCTCAGACGAAGATGAGAACAAGGTTACAGAAAACAAGGTCGATGTTGCTGTGAGAATAAATGAGATACAAACCCAAGCAGCAGAAATGTTTGAGGACATTTCTCAGCCAACAACTCCAGAACAAACTCCAAGCCTGGTGGATCAGGAGGTCAACGAGCTCATCAGAGACACGCAGGTTTTTGCTGAAACACAGATCCAGCGGAGCCTAGGACCGACTGAGACCTTTAAAGATTTACCTGAACAGGTCGAGGAAAACTCCAGGATTCCCAGCGTGGACATCGCTGAGATGACAAACAAAGTGAAAGTAGCAGAAGCACTAGAGGAGATTCCTTTACCATCAGCTATGGAGCTAACACAAGTTCAAAGGGGTCAGGAGGTCAGCAAAGTAGAAGAACAGAACATGCAGTCAGTTGGTTCTGAAAACCATCCAATAACAGACATGCAGACATCAGCCGAGTTTGATCAGACCCAGAGATGTAAGGAGGAGACTGACGAAAGTGTAGACCAGGCTGCGTCTGGGTGTGAGAATGTTCCAGAGGTTCTGACTGAAACATCTGCAGCAGCGTCAGAACACCAAAACCATCTGGCAGAGGAAACCGGTGAACGCGCCGCATCAGACATGAAGACAACTCTTTTACTGAATGTTGACACTAAAGATAAGGACATGCAGGTGGAGCCTGATGATGTAATAAGTGGACCAGTAAGGCCAGATGACAACAACGAGGTCATAGTTGCACCTGTGAGTACTATGGAAGGAGGAGCTGAGAGCAGGGATGTCATCGGTTTTGTTTGTGGCCAATCGGATGTCCAGGCACCAGAGGAGCAGATGAAGCCGGTTAACCAGTCGGAGTTCCATGACAACCAGGTTGTTTACGAACCCATCAGTAGTCCAGAGAGTAACAGTGGGGGGGGCGTCTGTACCACAGTAGAGCTGGGTGAAACCATCTCATTTCTGGATTTACAAAACACAGAGACCCATCACACGCTGGGTGGGGAATCAGGGATTCTAACCAGCGACGCCACATCAGAGGCTGCCCACTCTAATCAGGAGGAGGAGATTGAAAAAGCTGAGATTTGTGTCCCAGAAAGCCAAGCAGCAGCTGAGATGGAAGTCGACACCATCAGCGAGGCACAGTTGGAGCAGAGTAACACCACGGAGGCGTTTGAACAAGTCGCTGCAGTCAGTTCAAGCGATGACATGGATGCAACAGAAGATGCCACGGAGAAACGAGAAATACCAGTAGAGGTAACTGAGCAGGTGCAGGAGGCCGCTGCTGCAGCTCCAGCTTCTGATGAGGCAGAGGTAACAGATGGTTCATCTGAGGAGTACGTGATCTTGGAACCGGTCCCAGAGGACAACATCCACTTTGACATCGTGACTCAGGCAGTAGCCGAATCAGGTCTGTCAGCCTCGCTCTGTCCAGCCGACGTGTCGGGGGATGAAATCACAAATCAAAATGTTTTAAAGGATCCTCAGCAGGCTGAGGTGAAAGAGGACGATGGAGGGGAGTGTCCTGTGTTAACCAGCTCAGGAGACATTTTAGATCAGGAGATGGAGACAAATGTTCTTCAGGATGTTTCTAATTCTTACCACCTGCCATCTTCCACCACTGAGGAGACAGACATTACAAACCCTCCTCAGCACACCATTGAAGACGCTGGGTTGATGGTGGTAGAAAATGAAAAGTGTCATTTGGACCTACAGCAAGTGCAGATTCTGGAGGATATAGAGATTGGACACGAGATTGTAGTGGCAGAGGAGAACGGCAACGTTACAGCAGTAAAACCACCAGATCAGCCAACTGAGGTCTCCTCTGAACAGTCTGTCCAGAAGGTTTATGATCAAAAGAAGAAAACGATTGAGACCGCAAAGCAGAGCAAGACTGAAGACGAAAAAAAAGTCCCAGAGGTTCCAAAACCCAAGAAGCAAGAAATGAACACTCAAGCAAGAACCAAAGCTCGTCTGGCCGCTCTGGCTGAGCAGAAGGCCGCGGCGTCCAAGAGGTCCACCAACAGGCAGCAGCTGAACCTCCTAGCGCTGTGTCAGGAGATTGCAGAGGACATCGCCACAGACAGCATGCTGCTGAAGAAGATTGAAGAAGAAAAACAAGCAGCGGCAGTAGCAGCCAAGGCTGAAGCCAGACAGAAGGAGCTTCTACCTGCTGTCTCAGAAGTAGACCCAGTTAGCGTAGCAACCCCTGCTGAACCAGAGGAGAGTTCTGGTTCTGTCATCCACGCTCCAGAGCCATCTCCTGCTCAACCATCAACTGCTGCTGATGATTCAGCTGAAACCAAACCAGTTGTAGACCCTCCGAAGAGACGCTTCTTCATCTCACAGGTCTCCGTGCCGCTGAAAGCCCACGAGAAGAAGAAGCTCACTCGGTATCAGAGACTAAGACAGGTGGAACTGCAGAGAGAGAAGATGTCCTGGGCCCGTGTAAAGAAACTTAAGTCCGACCAAGCAAATCAGATGTTTTCAGACGTGGACTGGCAGGCTTCTTTCTCTGGAGGCTTCTTAATGAGTCCCCCAACGCCTCCACCAGCTCCTAGTACACCTAAAATGTCCTCCACGAATCCTGCGGAGACAAGCCAGCTCACCCCGCCAAAGGTAGAAGCTCCCACAGCTGAGACTCCTACAGCTGAGACTCCTACGGCTGAAACTCTTACAGCTGACACTCCTACGGCTGACACTTCGACGGCTGAGGCAGCACAAGTGGGACCTCAGCAACCCAAAACCTCCAAAACAGAACCCCCCAAGCCCGAATCTGCTGAAAATAAACCAGTTAAAGCTGAAAAGTCCAAAACCCAGCAGCCTCCTTGTGAAAACCGAAGATCTACGAGGCAAAGTAAGGCCCTAGCTTTGCAGACAGCTGCAGCTCCAGCGCCAGCTCCAAAAGTGACCAGGTCAGCATCCAAGAAAACCCTCCCAGCAAAGCCGCCCCCCATGCCTAATGGGATTAATGCTCAGAAACAGAAGCCTGTGGAGTACAAACCGTACAGACCCAGACCCAAATACTCCCCTGATGACTTTGAGCTGGACGATGACGACCTGTTACTGGCTTCTCCAGCAAGACCACGACCTCAGCAAAGCCCTGCTGCTCCCTGTCAAAAACCACCTGCTTCGTCTCAGCCCACCAATCAGATGAGACTTAACCCTCACACGGCGCCTCCTGGACAGATCTCAGGTCAGTCAAAGCCCACTGCTGTGTCTCAGGCTCAGTTAAAGCTGGTGCAGTCCAAACCTCCTGTTACAGCAACCCCTCCACCGAAGCCCGCTCCGTCAGCCAGCGTTCAGCTAACCTCCCCCAAACATGTTTCACCGTCAGGTCGGCCCAAGCCTGCAGCTTCTGCTCCTCCACAGTTAAAAACAGTCGTAGGAGCGACACCGTCTGATTCAGTCACATCAGAAACCAAACCTGCTGCTGCGGAAGCTTCAGTGCCTCAGAAAACAGAAAACCTCTCGTCACAGGAAAAAGAAAAAAGCCAGGTAAACTACAACTTATTTTTAAAGTTTCATTATCAGAAATAAAACTAACTTCTCAACACTTTTCTCTTTGGTAAACAGAAAACAGCTGATCCACGTTCACCCCCACTCCCTTTGGTGGAGTGCTCCAAAAAGTCCGATGACGCAGAGAAGTGTGAAGAGAAACCTGCTGGTGTGTTTTGTTTTACTGATCCTATTATTATTATTGCTACTTATTCAGTTTCAGAAACTACTAAATGGTTTCTAACAAGGTTCAACATATTCTATTTACACCCTTTCTGGTCGTTTTAAATGTCCAAGTGTGTCCTGTTTGTTTTCCTACAGTCACCACCTCCAGTTCAGCTGCAGAGAACAACTCCGCGACAGAAGAGCAGACGTCAGAAAAGCATCTATATGAGTAAGAAGCTTTGCTTTAGTTATTTTACGTGTTTATTTTCCTATTGCCAAGTGGAACTAACGTGTTTTTATCACAGCGGCGACGCAAAGCATCAAGATTCTGTGACTCATCTAAACGAAGCGTCTCTGCAAAAAGAGGTCAAGAGGCTAAAGGAGGCTGATAAAGATAGCTCTCAGACTATAATTGTAAGTAAAGCGGTTTAATCATCTCTCTAATGATTAAAAGGTCAGATAAAGATGTTTTATGTGATGAGTGTTTTGTTTGGTGTCCCAGGATGCAGGACAGAAACACCATGGACCGGTGGCCTGCAGCATGTGCGGGATGCTCTACTCTGCTGCCAACCCTGAGGATGAATCTCAGCATTTACTGTTTCATAATCAGTTCATCAGTGCCGTCAAATATGTGGTAAGAGGCAGCTGTGTGCAGTAGGGCTGTACGATTTTAGGAAAAGATTGAATTGCAATTTTTCTAGCAGAAATTGCGATTTCGGTTCAATTCACGATTTTCTGCAAGCCAAGGTCCAACACTAGCCTGCCAAGCCATCCGGTAGATTTAAGTGAAAAGATGTTTAGATTCTAATCCAGTACAACAAGTCATTCACATTAATATTTACTATTTAATCATACAATAAAACAGTTAAAGCCATTCATATTTTCTCCCATATTATCATCTTTTTTTTATGTGTTTGTGAAGCAACTTGTGCTTGTGATATTTTTATAGAGAGGAGCTTTATGAAAACATGTTCTACTCCAAAATGCATGGAGGGAATCTGTAGGTAGAAATAGCTTTTAAATGTATTAAATAACAAAAAATGCAGTTTCCCTGTATTACCAAGGCAGGCTGGCTGCACGTTTTTCGAAGCCGTCGGATAGTTTTTCTCACTAAAACGTCAGTTCCGTGAGAGAGATGCACGCATTCTGACAGCTTAGCTTGTTTGAACTAACGTGCACCATCAGAAACATTCAAACCATCTTTAAAAGAGAAGTTGAGCTTTCAAGTCAACTAAAGTGTGCGACTCCGCACTGACGCTGACGCATAAACCAGGCTTTAGAAATCAGCCTGAACCTGCTCCGATGTGGGAGGAGTCTCGCTCTCCCTTACTCAACCCTCTCTCTGTCCCGGGCTCACCTACGGTGCCATTATCATCGGCTCTAGCAGCGCCGTGTGTGGGAACATCAAACGGAAAATAACCTGAACATGCAGCTCTGTCAGCTGTGGAGTTGGGCTCGGTTCTGGACGGTACACCCCACCCCCTCCCCCACGCTGGCTTTTGCCGCCACCTTAGCACAGGGGGAAAACCCCGGATGTAAAAAAAAAAAAAAAGTGACAACTGATCCTGGATCAGTCAAAACCGCTAAAACCACGGCTTTGACGGTCACGTGATCGTGCTGTTTGAAATTGCAATTTCGTTTGTAAAACGATAGATCGTTCAGCCCTAGTGCGCAGGTTGTTTTATTTTATTTTTCTGTTTAATTAAAGGTGATGATGGGGGTGCAGGCACAGAGAACAGCTGCTGGTGTTACTTCATCCTCTTTGTGTTTGGGGGGATTTTACTTACTTTTCTCTTGGATCTCGTACGTTTACATTTAGGGGATTTTTTCCCCTTCAGCTCATTTCCTGGTCTGGTTCTGGCCTTTAACTCCTCGGTAGGCCAGCGTAACTCGGTTTAATAACAATAATACTCATTAAAACTGATAAGATTCACTTGTAAATGTGATGATGCTTGTTAAAATGACCAGATTTCTCAGATAAGTCCAGTTACCGACAGATAAAGCAAAATGAAACAGTTAATGGTAAACCTGTCTCCCATAAGTAAAGGTAAATTTTTCATAATCATTTCACAACTGTAGTGTTTGTTATAAATCTAAACACATTTACTGTAATTTAACTTAAAATGGGCTAGAGTGACCCTAGAGAACCAAGTTTTGTGATTATTAAATGTTTTTATTTTACTTTCATATTAAAAATTATTGAGTAAGAGTTTCATGATTTTATTTTATGTCTTTTTTATTCCGTTTAATGGAAAAGGAGACTCGGAACACTTCAACCAGACTCTTTACACAGTGGAGACATTTAAGTAATACATGTTTTTGTTGTTGTTTTGGCATGCCAGCTGTAGCTCAGTGTTCATTTTATGTGTGTAAAAATTAAAATTTAAATCAATACCAACACTTTCCCTTTTTGATCTCAGGGATGGAAAAAGGAAAGGATCCTGGCAGAGTTTCCTGATGGCAAGATCATCCTAGTCCTGCCAGATGATCCTAAATATGCTTTAAAGAAGGTACAACATCTTTGTCTGATTAAATAATGCAGGAGGTAAACATCTGGATGCTGAATGTCACACTTCAATCATGATGGACTTTCTCTCAGGTGGAGGAGATCCGGGAGATGGTGGACAATGACCTCGGTTTCCAGCAGGTGGAGACAAAGTGTCCCTCTCAGACCAAAACCTTCCTCTTCATCACCATTGACAAGAAAGTAGCAGGATGCCTCATAGCAGAGAACATCCAGGAGGTACGAGACGGCAGGATGAGATCATTCAGAGCGTGTTTTGGTGTTTGTGAGGCATGCTGAGCCTGGTTTCTGCTCACAGGGCTACAGAGTGATCGAAGAGCCGATTCCAGAGGGCTCAGAGGGTGAGAAGGTGATGTTTGAGCGTCAGAGAGCTTGGTGCTGCTCCACTACACCGGAGCCAGCCATCTGTGGCATCAGTCGCATCTGGGTGGTGAGCATGATGCGACGCCGAGGGATCGCCACCAGAATGATCGAGTGTCTCAGGTCGGTCCATCTACAGAAACACACCAGCTGAAAACAAGTTTCTCATCATTAATGTTGGGTTTCCCTCCACAGGAATAACTTCATTTACGGCTCTTACCTGAGCAAAGACGAGATCGCGTTCTCTGACCCCACCCCCGACGGAAAACTCTTCGCCATGCATTATTTTGGCACCTCACAGTTTTTAGTTTATAACTTTGTAAGTGGGCCGTGCTCGGTCCAGCCTAAAACACACGCAGTATGACCATAACGACAGAAGCAACAAATACAAAACGTCCCCTCATTGGTTTAAATCTCAGGATTAAAACAGCAAATTGTTGTTGAAACCTCGTGAATTTCATTGAAAAAGTATTTTCTCTAAGTGAAAATTTGGTTTTATTCGAACTTTTAAACGTTTTACATGCATGACCTGACAGCAATAGAATCAAACTGCATATCATTTTTACTTTCATCACATCCTTGACTGAGTTTTAATGTCTGAAACGATCCAGACAGAAGAGTAGCCTGGGCATTTATCACGCGTTATCCAAGCCGAGCCATACGCTTACAGACCAGTTTTAGCCTCTACTGTACCATTATTGTCTCTTAAATCTCACCCAGTTTGTCTTTTGCTTTGCTCATTTGTGCCTGGATGAATAATGTTTGCCTTCTCGTGTTTATTTTGTTTTATTTACATGTTTGCCTTTTGTTCCACTAAGCAGCATTTGGCTTTTAGAGATTCATCATTAGTAACATGTTGAAATCTATATTAAATAACCATGTAGATTTATGCATTTTATAACGAGGCTGATAACGGGAGTTGAAAACGGTCTCAATCCTCATGTGTTAAAGATTTTTTTGTAGTAAATATTCAGTCAGGTTCGATTTTTATGATTGAAGATGCTAAACATGAGAGTTCAGACCTACTCACTCAGATTAATAGTATCATTATAATCATACTTTATATTTTTCCTCCTCATTGAAGCAGTTGCTTTTAGAAATATGTTTTGTGTAAGAAAAAATAAATTTGATTTATATGAAGCGGTTATGTAAATATTTATTTAAATAAACAATTAAAACCCTTTTCCTGCAGGTGTATTCAATGTGCCCCCTAGTGGTCAGTAATGTTTAGAAACCACGTTTTTTCCCCGAATGTACGTTTTGAATTGTGTGCATTTTTTGCGTTCGTCATGTTTTCGCTCATGTTGCGGCTGATGTAAACACCCACCCCACTTAGCACATTCCTCGACGCTCCTGTCTCAACACCGACCGGCTCGTTTGCGACTTCTGAGAAGCAAAACAATCTTAGAACAACACGAATGCTTCCTCACACAGGGGGAGAAAACAGAAGCCCCCACTCATTCCCCCTCAGAGATCTGATTTGAAGCAGGAAGAGAAAACAACACAGTTGAGGTATATTTAACTCCAAACGACCACCCCTTACTTTTAAATCTATATAGGGTTATCTTGGGCTCAGACCTCCTAAATGAAACAATTGAGACATTTGCAAACACACTTTAATTTGTACACCAGGTCAAAAAGACAAAAATGTGCAGCTGCCTTGTTGTGAACCACAAAACATTTTTTATAACTAAATGTCCAATTATTTCAAATATGTGTTCATCTACTTACATAAATATGTATATTTACTCCCTTAGACAACCTGAAAGAATATAGACCAGTTCCCTCCATATGTTGTGCATTGGCCTCGTTTCCGGACAACTGCGGGGACTTGATCTGTTTAAAGTTTTCAAATGGGATTACAGTAAGACTCTAGCTACTCGTTCGGTTGACATGCAACCTAAAAGGGGAGAAAGGAAATAGAAGCTGCTCTGGAGTGTGCGTGGGAAATACACAAGATGTTTCTTATTTTTTTTACACCAACAAAACATAATCTGACAAATCAAAAGTTTTTAAAGTAAACAGTACTGCACGTAAGTATTAATACAAAATTATGTTTTCCTTCTAAAGAATCAGGTCCTGTAATTTGCTTTAAAGATTACAAGAAGTCAGACCTATTTGAAGCAAACTAAAGAAATAAAGAGTGAACCGGTAGAACACAAAAGAATGTGTAATTCTGACATTTTGCCAAGGCAATGATGACATAAAGATGTAGGCACCAAATACATTATAAAACCCAATGTGCACTTTCAAAAATTCACAGTATGGGACAGTGCTCGCCACAGAAATGATACAGTAAGTCCAGAACATCTGCCTCCTCAACCCTTCTAATAACAACACCCTGACCTCTTCCAGGCTGCACCACCACCACCTCCTCACCTTCAGGAGGGAGCTTCACCAGTGGGTGTACTTTGTTGTCCTTCATCTTAAACTCAGGAACACCAACGCTGGGCAGAATGCCATTTCTCCCTGCCCATGTTTTGGTGTCCTCTGAAGTGTCCTTACCCCTCATAGGGTCATCTCCATTGATGCCGTTTTTGCTCGCTGTGCTCTGGTCTTCTTGACAGACCTCTGATTCACTTGTGTGGGGAAGAGAGAAGTAGGTGCACTTTCTAGGTGGCGTCTTTGTCTTGTCTTCCAGTTCTGGCTTTGTGCTGAAGAGAGAATATGGAGAGCTCACTTCTGTGTCTTGACCCAGTCCTTCGTCATCAGGGCTGTTTGAAAAGGTTTTGTTTATTCCAACTGGATCGGACACTGATTTCCTCATCACTGTGTTTTCTCCAAGGAGCCAACATCCGTCATGAATAGGGACAGTGTCTCCGGGTCCCACTTGCACATTAAAAGCAATGCATCTCGTTGCCTCACTGAGAGAATCCAGTGCATTAGTGGAGCTGAAGGAAGATAATTCAGACATCGCTTTGGCTCGGACTGCGTGAAAAGGAGAGAAGATGGAAGGCTCTTTTTTCCTCTGACTCGGCTCTGATGGTGGTCTCTCATGTACTTTCTCTGGTTTTATCTCTTTCTTTCCATAAAGCATTTCAATCGTCCTCCTCACGAACCCTTTACCGATGGATTTTCGTGATGAATCGTCTTCACCGCTGGACTGTTCACCTGAAGTCTGGGACTGGTATCCACCGCTGCCGGAGGCCTCTGGTCTAACATCGGGCAGGTCCGATGAGTGTGGACTTGGGAACTGTCTCTGCTGGATGTCTGTGGCACTTTTTGCTAAGAACATTTCTTTGATGGATCTGACCCGGCTGCTTTCAGGCTCTGTGGTTATAACTCCACTGGAGTCATAGCTAAAAGACAGGGATGACTGAGGAGCCGATCTGGTGCAGAGAATCGGATCAGATGTTGGCGATTCAGAGGGCGAATCCTCCAACTCAACATGAGCCTTTCTTTGTGAGAAACGCCTCATTTTTAAACTACTTGATGTATTGTTCACTTTCTGGGCTTCTGCAACCTGCTTTTCAAGCAGATTAACTCTCTCTGCAACAGATTGGGTTATATTTTCAGCGGACCGTTGCAGAGGATTTTCTACAAACTGTTCTAAGTTTACTTCTTGTAGTTGTGAAGTTTCTCGTGTATAGCGTTCTTCTATGTTGCCTTGTCCCTCCTCTGAGTTAGATTGCTTTTCATAGTAGCTTAATTCTTCAGTTGAGTTGTTGATGTGTTCATCTTCCTCCGTTAGTTCGTCACCATGTTCCTCACAGCTGCTGTGGTCATGCCCACTGTCGTCGTCTGCATTAAATGTCAAATCTTTTACTACATCAGATAAAATCAAATCCCTTTCATTTTTCTCACTGCTCTGAACTCCGTCAAGAGTACTTTGACTTTTTGGATTTTCATTGTGATGTTCTTCACTTGAGCTAACCTGCTCTTCCTCTGTCTCTTCTCTCAAAGCCTCCAACCCCCTTCTGCTTTTGGTGGTTTGTTCCCCAACATTAGGACCATTGTAAATGGCTTCCCCATCCTCATCGGGAGAAAAGCTTTCCTCAATAATAACCTGCAGTTTTTTACTGTCGACAACTGGCTGATCTTCCTCTGAGGACACATCCTCTGAGTCTGAATGTCCTGTGCTGTCATCAGTACTGATGTTCAACCCCATACTACTAATTAGACTCTCAGATGCCTTACATTTATTCTCTGGTTCCTCTGACAGTTTTTTGCTTTTCGTAGTGGATTCTCTGTTCTCTTTGAAATTCACTTCTACATAGTAGTTTGCGCTTGTTTGTGTCTCCTCAAACCGACTCTCAGGGCTGGACAAGTCCTCAGATTTACTATTATCTTGAATAATCGTATCACGTTCAACTTTTGTAGCATTTCCTGAGCAGCTTTTCTCACCTGCTTCTGAAACTTCCTTACAGTTTTTCTCCATATCTTTATTGGCGCTTGCAATTTTCTGTCCTCCCTTATCTGCATCAGATGCTTTCTTATTGATTCGCGTGGTTTCAGAGACAATGTCCTCAGTTTTCAATGTTAGCTGCCTTAATTCCAAGTATTGCTTTTCTGTTTTACAGGCACAACTGTCTTTTAACTTTGTCTCACTGCTCATTTCTTCACATGTGGTTGCATTTGCTTGTGTTGATTTCTCATGTTTGTTGCCCTGCTGCTGGTTTTGCTCCTCCTGATGTGCCACATCTCCACTTGGCTGCAAGTTGATGGATGTTGTACGGTAAACCTGCCTTTCGTCAGGAATTTGCTTGAAATTTCCTTCAGCTGACGGGTGTTCAGTCACAAAATCGGACTCATCTTGGCTGCTGTTGTTTCCAGATGTCTGGTCAGTGGTTTTGTGCTTTGCTGTCTCTGAAATGTGGTCAAAACTTTCCATTTCAGTGAGTTTTTTTATGATGGTCCTCACATCATCTTTAGAAGTAGCATCTTCTGAGGGGAAATAGTTTGTGTTTTCTGGAGTATCTTGAGTGGCTGACGCTTCTGTTCTTTCATTAACCCCCTTGGATATTTTTCCTTCATTGTCACTGTCACTTTTTGTACTCTCTGAAAGAGAAGCCAACTCCTCCTTGAGCTTCTCAGGAATGTCCAGGTTATCTATGATTTCATCAATAACAATTTCTGCAATGCCACAGTCTTGTTCAGTACCATCCTCGAGTGTAAGTCCCACTGCTGAAGCATTAGGCGTGGAGCCACGACTTTTGCATCGATCGCCGAGTTCCTGAAAACCTTTCCAGCTTTGCAAGAGCTGCTTTGAGGTAGACTGCTGTAAGTTTGACAAACTAGTTTTCATCCCCTGTGAATCTTCGATGTTGGCAATTTCTCTGAGAGAATCAATCATCTTTAGTGCCTCTGCACAGCTGAGATTGTTTGCATTCAGCTCATCCACATTCAGGTTAGTTAAGCCTTCCCTTAGAGTCATGACAGCCAGGAAAGCAAGAAGAGCTTTTGAAGAGGAGCCAAAAGTTGAAGCTACATGCGAGGAAAAATCGGGCAAGCTGTTGGACTTCTCCAGACATGAAGGACGCTTGTTTTGAGTGATTTGTCTGATCGATTTTATTGAGTAGCAAATATTTTCGAGGACTGGTTTCATGCTGGGCTGGTTTGCTATGTTTGAAGGCTGTGGCTTTTCTTTGGTGTCTGCCACAGATTTATACCAGTCAGCCTCATTGTCCCAGTTATGGTCGGCTTCCATTTTAGCTGCTGGTGTTTCCATCTCTTGCGTTTGGGAAATATGTTTTGAGGGCATTTTCTTTTGAGTCTTACTCATTGATTCTGGTGGATTGTCTAGAGAGACGTTTCTGGACAGAAACTTTCTGCTATACTTGTGTCTGGCAGGTGGTGACAACACATCCAGAGACTGAGAAGACGGAGAGGCTCTCTGGAGTTTTTTCTGAGTAGAAGAGCTCACATTTGGCATTGAATGTTTTTGTATTCCAATTTTGGGAAGAACTACTTTATCAGAAAGGCGTTTGGTTACTGGTGGTAACTTGCTTTGGATTTTCATCTCTGGAGATGGGTTTCTTTTTAGTTGTGTTCTTTTTATCAAGGTTTTAGGTGATGGTGCCTCTTTTTGAGGTATTTTGGCCATTGTGGTTTTTTTGGGTTGGATATTGCTTGAAATTGGAGCTTCAATTGATAAAACACTGGTCGTTGATTGTCTTTCATCTGATATTAAGCTTGCGGGGGACATGGAAGTACAAACTGATGGATCTAAAACTGATTGCAGAGTCTCCTCAAAAGGAGCTTTTAATGGTTGTTCTGTCTCCATTGAACAGATACCATGTGTTGGCACTTCATCTCCCACAGTGCTGATGGGAGGGGATAATGTAGTCATCCCCAAAGTGGCTTCAATACCTGATGTGTATTTATCCAGAGAAGCCCTCCTTAGAGACATTTTCCTTTCAAGTGAACCATTACTGACCAAAGGAGCTCTTTTAATGGATTGAGTTCTGGATAGTTCTGCCTCCTGTAGTGTGGAGGGATTGTCAGTCTGAACAGGTGTTGTATTTTCAATCAAAATTCCAAGTTCAATACCTTTATTCGATGTAGGACTCATGGTAAACGGATAATTCTCGGATATATGACTGCTCATTGACGAGAGCCTGTAAAAAGGGCTGCTGCCTGCTGAAGGGACATCTGGTGTGAAACTTTCATTGTATAGTAGTTCCGGTGGTGGTGGAGGTAGCGCCATGGTAAGAGAATCTGTAGGTGTTACTGGATTTTCAACTTCACCACCTAACACTTTTTCTGGTAATGTGTCAGTTGGAGGTAGTGGAGGAGTATTTTTCTGACTTAAGCCATTGTAATTGTCTAGTTTTGCAGTGGTTGTATTACTGATTTCAGTTTTCTCAACAGATGTATTTGATTTATTTTCAAAAGACAGTATTCTCAGTTTGACAGATGGTGCTAACTCATTTTCTTGAGGTGATTTGCGAGTTTTACATGTTTGTATTTCTTCTTTTCTCTCTCCACAGCCCCCCATTTCAGGTTCTTTGAGAGAAAAGGCCCCTGATTTTTGACTTTCCCTGTCTGAGTGGGATGTTGTGTGTAAATGGGCCTTCTCGAGCCAATTCTCTACGTATTCCTTAGTCATGGAGCTGGAAGAGTTAAAAGGTGGCAAAGACATGCTTTTACTGATTTCAGATGACTCCTTTTCCTCCTTTTTCTCCATATGCATTGATATTTGTCTTGTCAGTGTTCCCCGTGGGTGCCCAAGTTCAGTGCCTGTTTTGCTTGTCTTCTTTTTGAAAGATATGTTTGAGTCTGTAGCATTAGCACTAACGGTAGTGGCTGGTTCTGGTAAGCTTTTCATTGCCACTCCTTTTCTTATTGGTTTCTGATTAGGCATTTTAGATTTTTTTGCTGATTTGGATTTTTTCCCATAAATTCTCTTAATAAACGCAGCGCTGGAGAAAGGTTTTACCCTCTTACGTCTCTCTGTTACTTTTTTAGAATTCATCTTTGGTCTTTTTCTCGGCATCACAACCAGCTGAACGTGTTTGTCAATTAATTTAGATTTTGGGGAAACACTGACAACCTCTTTTTGTTGGGGCTTGACTGGATTTTTGGACTTTTCTCTTTGAGTTACATTGGTTTGTAGAGGCAGTAAGTTCAAATCTGATGTTGAAGATGAGCCATCAGCCCTTCTGACACCAACAGGCTTAGATTCGGTTGAAGGACCCCAGGACTCAGATTCCTCATTCATCGTGGAAAGTTGCCCAGCTGCCTTAGTGGCTTGCTCAAAAATAACTTCAGATCCAGCCATACCATGTGAACAGACATTTGCTAGGAAATTATCTAGACAAGTCTGCTGTTCATATATGTGCAAAACAGTCTCAGTGACTTCATCGCCATCAGATTCAGTCTGTATGATTTCACTCGATTTGAAATCAGAATTATCTCTACTTTTGACATCGATGGACCCTAATCGTCTTGGTTTGGGCACTGGCCTTGGGCCGTCCTGATTCACTACACAGCACCGCTCTATTTCTATCTGTTCTCCGTAGGAGTAAGAACCCACCGGTCTGTCAGCAGTCCCATTCATCGTTACAGTTTTAATACTCTCCACAGAAGCTTGTTGTTTGCTGATTTGTTTTAATCCTGGTGTAGGAACTCTCCTTGGGGACACGTCTGTGTGGTTTTTTACATCATCCTCTTCAAAACGACAACCACTGACGTCTCCACTTCCGAGTGGTGGAGGATCATCTTCATCATCATCAATGTTGTACTTATGCTCCTCCTTGTGGATGGTGTCAGAAGCGGCAGAACTTTGTGACTTGTGTGAATCTGATTTATTTGAGTTAATCTCCAGCTGAGTTTCGGAGTCCGGAGCCACATTAAGCTGATCGGCTGCAGCCGACCGCGTCAGGGTGGTCGTCCATTGAACTGTTTCCTCTTCCTTAATCGTCAGCCGCACTTTCATCTCCACTGTCATACTGCCATCCTGATTCACCCGAAAGGACTTTTCAATGTTGTCATCATTAAGCAGAGAGCAGTCCTGCCCTTCAGCTCCATGGCCATGCCAGGTGTCCTCTCTTTCTGCTATGGAATCCAGCATGCAGTTGGAATCCAGTTCCACAGAGTTAGCGAGGTTACTGGGCAGGTCGCATGAACCCTCTGCAATGCTGCTTTGGATCTGACGAACGATGTACCTCTCAGAAGATGCTGAAAAGTTTCTTGACTTTGAGGAATATGATGGTGACTTCTTTTCAGCTGTTCAGTTGGTCAAAAGGACCAAAACGGGTGTAAGAAAATAAATATAAAATCCAGAATAAATGTGCAGAGATCCCAGGAGGATTGCAGGGAATCCAAGAAAAGTATGAAGGGAGACAGAAAAACAAATAAAGATGGTTAGAAAGAAGGAATGACTGCTCATCAAGCAGAACATTAGCTGGCTCTCATGTAGAGCGTGCATGTAGGTCATCTACAGTATTACGTATAATATTATCTCCTCAGCACTTTCTCAAGCTTTATCCCTTCAGGGAAGGTAGATTACAGCGGACACTTCATATGTGTCATGCTAATGGAAGTATCAATCTGACACCTTAAAATTTATCCATAAAACAGCCCATGCTTCTAAATTGAGTAGTGCTTAAAGTTGATTTAAATTTGTCTTTTGACTTACAGTTTGAGATCTTTTGTCTTCTGAAACCCCCTCGGTTGGTATTCTGCCGTGTTGGAGTTGGAGATGTCTGTACTCTGTAAAATGCAGGCCTGAAAGGTTCCCTGCCCACAGCCACCACAGTCCCAGAGCACAAAATCAAACCTGGAAGGCCGTCGACCTGTAGCAGACAGAAAATCTAATCAAGTCAGTCCTCTTAAACTAGCGTCCCCATCTCCTTTTCCAACAATTGTCACAATAACCCTCAGAAGTTCTGGCAGAACCAGTAGGAATTTATAATAGAACCCTGGCCAAAGCTTTACAGCGTAGGATTTCAGAATGCCTTTCGTGGATTAGGTGAGCTGGTAAAGAAGATTATCACTTTCTCGTCTTGTGTGGCTGCTATGTCATGCCGGGTTTGAGTTCATCTCAGTTCTTTGTTGGTCAACAGTAGCCACGTTTACATGCGCATATTTAATCGGATTGAATGCCCATTCAGATTGAAAATTCTGCATGTAAACATGTCAATCAGAATATTCTGATCCGATTCGGCCCGATCGGATTGAAATTTCAATCCGATTGAGAGAGGTGGTTTATTCCGTTCTTCATTCCGATTGACGTGCATGTGCACAGCCATTCGGATTGTTGGGGTAAAACAATGCCCACTGCGCATGTGTGCAACAGCCAGCGGGCCTCTCCGCTGTCATTTGGACTGCCTGACTTCAAAAATGACGGTGTAATTAACAAGCGGCGGCTTTTAAATCCGACAACAAGCCGTCCCGTTTCAGTAATATTTAATTCAGAACTTGCATTTTGTGGAAGTAAAATAAAAATCTGATTATTGCACAAATCATTCGACAAAGATGTTCAAATCTTTACTGGAAATACGCAGGTTTATCGTGGGGGTTGCAGCGCACGGATCCCCGTTTCTGTCAGCTTTGAACGCAGCAGCTTCTGCAGCAGGTGATGGAGACACGCTTGTAAAGAACACAGGATAATCTGGGTTTTACAGACCTGATTGGAGGCTGATGTTGGGTAGGAAAACGTCCTCGGTTAAATACTCTGGACGACAGTAAAGTCCGTGTTCGTTAAAAGCACGTAAACGCAGATGACCTGAGATGCGGTTCGTTAATGATGAACACAGGCTTCTAAACTTTCTGAACATCTTCTGTTATTTTGTTTGAACAGATTTTTCTCAACAGTTTCAGCTGATCGTCACATGTTATTAATAATAAGCCACAGCAGAGCTCAGTAATAAAACATGAGGCTAACCCCCCCCCCCCCCACCCCCCCACTCCCCCACCCCCGCTCTGTGCCGCAGCGCAGCGCAACAGCTGTCAATTCAGACCTGCGGACCAACTGATCAAGAGGCAGACATAACCCTCCCTTATTTTAATCAACAATAAAATGCAGCAAAGCATATATCTGCAGTTATTCACTGAAGAAAACGTAACTTCTATGAGCTAAATAAAATTATTAAATTGAATAAATGGATCAGGAAAGCAGGAAGAATAGTTATTTCTGTTTTTACATTTTTCTTTTCGTTTCATGGCGTTTGTTTACAATTTTTCTTTCGTGAAAGGCAACTCTGCGCATGCTCAACCTATTTAATCGGATTAAATGCTTGGAGCGTATGTACGCACGGCATGATCGGATCATTTCAGTTCGTGTCCATGTGAACAGAGATTCGGAAATTCCGATCAACCAAGATTTCAATCGGATTGAGGAAATTAGGCACATGAAAACGCAGCTAGTAGTGTTTGTGGAAATAGTTTTTACATGTTTCACTTGTATGTGTTGTTGTGAGAGGAGAGCACTTACACGTCTGCCATCTGGAGTGTGTAGTTTGTTCACATGGAACTGCATAAGTTCTGAGATGTGTTCCAGGATAGATTCATAACGTGGACTGGTCTTCTTGTGAAGCACCACTGTGTGCTTTACAGAGGGGTTGCCGTTACGAAAAACCACAATCTTCTTGGGTGTCCGAACAACAAACGGCTCCTGCCGAGGGATGTTTTTCCTGCCTGGAAAAAAACGGGCCTGCTGCTCAGTCCTGTGCCGAGAACTTAAGGGTGTAGTGTGGTACCAAGGTGGTAACTTCCTTCTGGCCAAGGCCAGATTGAAGGGTTTGACTTTACGGCTGTCAGAGCAGAGGTAGGATTTCCCGTCCTCAAGTTCATCTAAGGTACTTATCCCATGAACCCCTCGAGGGGTTGTGATGTTCCGCACGCCGAACGCCAAAGGAACCTTCTTAGATAGGCTGTCCAGGAGTGCGTCGAATGTTTTAAAAGTGCGGTTGTTGATGACCATGCGCAGACCATTGAACTGAGGATCTCCACTTTTGTAGAAGCAGACTCGCTTTGACGGGATAGTGTTGATGATGCTCGGGTGGTGTGCTGTGTCAAAAGTGTGTCCACTCCCTGATAACTGGTCAGGGAGGGTTCTCCGGAGCCCCGTTTCATTCATCATCACAAACTGACTGCAAATGCAGATGGAAAAATGCAAAACATTAGACAAATGTCAAGAAAACATTTCTTCCTTTGACATACTTTTGCTAATTCTGCTCAAGACTCTGAAACTCCTAGTGTAAACATCACAAATGTCTCCTACTCCCCCACTTCCTGAGCCAATACAATAAAACCCAACTGTGAAGAATGGGAGTTGTGAGTTTTTTGGTGGTCCACCTATAAAGTAGCTTTCCTTGTGCAAACAAGCAACAGGTGACCTTTTTTCTGACCTTTCCATGGTTCGTTCCTGCAGTTGCTTTTGACCTACCAGCCACAATAAAATCCATGGATATTATATAATTAACATACTGGTTTAAAGCTGGAACCTCCTTCAGCGTAAATACAATGTTGTTCACAATTTTACTACATTTCAATAAGACAACCAGAGTTTGTTGAAATGTCATTTTTGTTTGTATTCAAAATTAAATTTTCTGAATTTTTTTCTCTTTTGACTGATTACTTTTTATGAAAATATTCTGGACAAATTGATTATTTAGATGTAAATTGACTTGTACGTGTAAGCAAATCTTGTATACACAGCTGAATGACGTCTGGTAAACATATGTTGTTTACTTTAAGACTGTGGCCATCAGGTAACATGACCCACCATCTGCAAAACACGTCAGCCAACAGAAGAGTCTTTTTCTCAATTTCAACTCAAATATCTAAACAATTTTTTTTCTTAATGTTTTTCAATAAGTAATAAATGAAGATTTTAATTCTGCAAATTTTATTGAATAAATTTTTTTTTTTGGTTCTAAAATGTATCAATTGCTGTGTTGGTGTCATTTTAAATACATTTCACAATTTCATTTATAAATGCCTTACTAATATTTGTAGTGACACCTAACACAAATCCAACACATAAGTCAAATGCAATTCAGCTCAGCAATAAAAACTACAATATTTCAATGTTTCTCACCTTTGTTGACATCCTAATAATCCTGCATGTTGTGAAAAAGATCCTAGGAGTTTTATTCCGTGCACTACGGCATGGCTACTCTTCAGGTAAATGCACGGCAACAGTTTATTTCAGGAGACACCATCATTGGTAATTTGCTTAATCTTTGCTCAGAGTTAATCTTCACTGCAGGTGCAATGCTTGAAAATCCGCTTCAGAACGGTGTGTAACACCAATACACACCAGGCGAAGACGTGTTCCAAAGACCTCAGACATAAATGTTGGTTTTGGGTCAAATCAGCCTGCAGATGTGGGCTCATTTATTAGGAGAATATTAAGTTATTGTTGATGGCAAAGTAAGGAATAATGCAGGCAAATTCTTCCCAATTTCATTTTTTGTTGTTGTCGCATGTAGCATGCTCTTTTGAAAAATACAAACGCATGAAGTAAAATGTGAGTTTTTTCTGAATGACATATGGTTAGCTGGTATCTGCTTGTATATAACAGCAGGTTTGTAATCCCTTTAAGGGCCTCTTTTGGTAATTAGGATTAAAGTGCTCTCAATTCTCAGGACCCTCACAGAGGAGCTGTTTTCCATAGATTGAGGTCACTCAACGTGCTCTAAAGTGGTTGCTCATCCTTCTGTGCTCTATGAACAACCTCAGTTTGGAGAAATATAGCTACATTAGCCAGATGTGAGCAAACAGCTGTCCCCAGCGACCACAGGACCAATGTGGATTGTTGTCACCTAGAAACAACTCTAATCTCGTGAGAGATCCATGCCAACGTTATTTTAAACAGCCTTTACATTTCCGTTGACTTTTCTTTTGTGGAATTAAACTCCATTGTGCTCCTGAGCTCAGCTGTAGTTTTTTTTTTTACTCTTTTGAAACTCCAGGTTCAGGGTGTGATTTTATTAAACTATTAATATCAAAACTAAAATAAAAATCTGTATAAAATACAAACGTTCTGTCGTCCTTCACAATAAGAGTCTCAAACATCTGCATGAACCTCAAAACACCCACAAAAGCAAAGCTTAAAAAGTAGTTCAATTATTGTTCTTTGGTAAACTTGTTTTCATGAACTTTATTAATAAAGCTGTGAAACAACAAAATAAAAAAATAGTTTTCTTCAAAGGGACTTTTCAATATTTATGCTCGCGATTGCCCCCTCAGGTCAAAAGCGTAACTGCAGCTTCAATAGTGGGCTCGCGCGCGAGGCACGCATGCTATATGTGCACACTCCTGAACAAAAACAACAACTGAGTCAGTCCCGTAACGGTGTAATTTACAGGTTTGCCAGCATGACTTCGACAGAGGTAATAAATGTAATATAATATATTTAGACCAAATCAATTTGGACTGCATATTTTCCAGGTTGTGATAGGTGCATGCATAGCAAAGTGAGCAGAGTGAGGAAACCAAATAATACCAATATATTAATAAATTATATTTGATGGAGGAAAAAATACTAGAGCACTTAGTATGCATAAACGTTGGCCCTATTGTAATAATAAAATAATTCCACTGGTACTTGACAAGTATAGGCCATTTACTAGAAAAAAAACCATGATGTTATGGACTGCTACTTTTTTACTTTTACTAGAGTAAAAATACATGGAGGTACTGCTACTATAACTTGAGTACACCTTTTGTGTACTCTACCCACCTCTGCTCCTCTTTTGCATCCAGGTAAAGATAGTCTTAGCAACATTATTTTCATCAAATATAAATACACCATTACCAAAATGTTTTATGGATTATTACAGTGAAGCTTTTGTAAAACATGCATTCCATCATATTAACGTATAAACCTTATTACTTTTCCTTCAAGGAATCCAGTGTATCTCATTACTCAGAAGTTTCTGAAGAGAGGAGTGATTCTGGAGGGGGCAGAGGGAGGGCAGGCAGAGGAGCAGGGAGAGGGAGAAACAGATATGAAAGTACAGGCCGGGGGAGAAGCCAGGCTAGAGGAAGAAGAGCTAGAGCAGGACGCATTAGTGAGGACGACAGAGAACGGGTTCCTCAGATGTCTGCTGACAGATCTGCAGATACAGGTAGGTCATAATGCAGAACACTAATACATTTCACAATCATTAAGTTTATAAAATAAATGCTGCCTTTCGTTTTCAGGCACAGTTGCAACACCTAAGTACGGAGGAAAAATGTGAAGTCCTTCAGATGGTTGTTAGACGTCTGCCAGGAGTGTTAATGGACATTATGGACTATAGACAGGCCACACCAGGACGTCCTCCATCAAGCCAGGGTCAGCCAGCTTGGCGCACCTGCTCCTATTGCAGAATGATGCCCACAGACCGGGAAAACAAGTGCTGTAGACAGGATCCAGAAGGGTATTTGAGCAGGCGTGCTCGTTTTAACCTGTACTGCATGGATGAAAGCATCCTGCGTTTGGCTCGGCATACGTGGAATGACATTTTGGCTCTGCGTGATAGCCAAGACCCTGGATCTGATAATCGGGTGTACCGTTACTGTGCCTGTAGACAGTACACTATTTGGCAATATGGACGTCTTGGTACAGGCAATCGTAGGGTGATTCCTTCCTGCTGTGTTTGGAGGATCAGAGACAAATACCCTGACCATTTTGGGATTTATGTTGGTTATAAAGAAGCCCCCTTCCGCTGAAACTAACATGCAACTCATGACCAACTCAGAAGTTTGACTTACTTTTATTGTTGTTGCTAATTTTTTTTGCATATTTATATTAAACATATTTACATAAATAAATCTGCAGTGCAGCTGCGCAGTGGTGCAGTGGTTAGAGCTGTTGCCTTGCAGCAAAAAGGTCCTGGGTTTGCTTCTCGGCCTGGGATCTTTCTGCATGGAGTTTGCATGTTCTCCATGTGCATGCGTGGGTTCTCTCCGGGTACTCTGGCTTCCTCCCACAGTCCAAAAACATGACTGTTAGGTTGATTGGTCTGTCTAAATTGTCCTTAGGTGTGAGTTTGTGTAATTGTTTGTCCTGTGTGTCTCTGTGTTGCCTTGAGATGGACTGGCTCTCTGCCCAGGGTGTACCCCGCCTAATTGCCCGTTGACTGCTGGAGATAGGCACCAGCCCCCCCGCAACCCTACGTGGACCAAGCGGGTTCAGAAGATGGATAGATGGATGGAAATCTGCAGTGCCCAACTTTGATTGCCATTAGCCTCTGTTTAGGTATCACATAATAAGTCCTGGAAAAACAAAAGTTACATTTATGTAATTTTCTTCCACAAAAATGGAGAGGGCATTTGGTTATAGTCACTATCTGTCCTCTGCATTGCTGTGTCTGCACCAGTTCAGCTGTAGGAGGAGGGGTGATCCTGGAGAGAGGACCCAGGGCCCTGGGGTCATCTGGCTGAATGCTTCTTCTTTTTGGGAGTCCCCCAGCAGAGCTGAGGCACTTCTCCAGCATTCTTGTCTGCAGCTCTGGAATGTAGCCGTAGTCTTTGGTCTCCTTTACAGTGTGAACACTGTAACGCTGCAACTTTTTGCTGTAGACTCGCTTGTGTCTAAAAACATGAATTTAGACAGTAGAAACTTATATGAAGGTATTATGAATATATAAAAGCTACCAAGTTTGACTTACGATACTTGGCCTTTGCTGTTCACATGCACTGGGCGATGGTTATGGTGGTTGTAGTCTAATGCAGCTTCATAGACACCATATGAGAATGCAAAGCGTTTCCCCGCGTACTTCAAGATGTGATTTTGGAACGAATCCAGCTCAGCAGTGGTCCTGGAGAAAAACAGCACAATGTCTGTAGATGAAATAAATTCTAACTCAGTGCAATATAATATACTTTGTAGTAGGTAATACAACAATACAGACACTGGTATCAGGGTGATACCGATCTAATGTACTTGTGTGTGTAGTTTACAGATAACAAAAACCAACACTAAAAATGTAGAAACTGCTGTATTTTACATCTAAAAAAATTAATTTTCAGATGAAATTTCATATTAGTGGTTGTTTATTTGTATTTTACATTTGATCTAAATCTACTTCAATTGTAGCACCAGGCAGAGAAGAAAATAAAACCTGTCTTCTGCTTCATTGTTTTGGTACTTGTTATTGGCAAGAACTCCGATCCAAGGGTCAGGATCGTATCAGTTAGAAAAATGCTGCGTTGTTGTTTTCCCAATTTTGTTGTAGTATTAGTAAGACAGTTACTTCACATTCCCACCAGATGTCACTAACATAAGTTACCTAAAGGTGAGCAACTTCTCGACATCCTTCAGCCATCGCGGGTTCAGAACAATCTGTGAAAGCGCCACATGTGCAGCAGATCCATGTTGAATGAGCTCTTTGGGTTCTTCGCCAAAGGAGCATGAAAGCACCTGCCAAAGCCCCATTCATGCTCTCAACCAACTCACGTGGTGAAGTACACCCTTCCAGACATCCTAAAAACACACAAAGTCGAAAATACAAAAATTTACATGGTGAGTGGAAAACGATAATGAACCATGTCAACAAATATAAACAAAAGCATTATATTAGCTGACGACTGTATACATGAATACTGTTCGAACAAACCATAAAGTCTTCTCTGGTGCTTGTGTGCTGACAAGCAAACCAAAAATGGTTAACAATGTCCTTGATCCATCCAAGTATAAGCTTTTGACCAGAAAACATCCAACCTGTTTGAAGGCAAGAAAAAGTTAAAATAAAGTCTGAACAAGCCAGGTTTACTACCATCATAATACATTTTGGCACGCAGCATGAAGTTTCTTTGTCAGATTTTTTGCGGCGTGCCAGACATCAAGCGAATGGGTAATACCCTGATGCTTATATCTTACCCTATCTGGATCTGTTCAGAAAACATCAAAAACAGTCTTTTAACAATCTGGTTTCCAATTACCAGTAAAAACTCAGAAGTTTTTTGAATTTCTTTTGCATGAGGGCAGCAATTAGTACATGGGCATCAGTGACGATCTCCTTGATGTTCACCTTTTATGGCCCACCCATCTTTTGTCCACATTGACAACATTGATGATGTCCATGGTACCTAGCTCCATCATTGTGTATGTACAGCACATTGCTGAGTGACCTTTTTTTTTTTTTTTTTTACAAATGTACAGAAAATTGTAAAATTACAATGAAAAGAAATATTTCAACTGATCTAAAAATGAATTTTCAAAAAGCTTGTTCATTACCTGGAGAGTCCATCCTCCCGTCAGCTAAAAAAGAAACACGTAGACATGTAAGCATATAATGAATATGAGCCTTTAAAATTAAACATATTTAGTTACCGAGAGCAACCACGCAGTCTTTTGACTGCAGTTTCTTGATAATGGCATTCCTCTTCTCCTCCCAAAACTGCTTTATTGTTTTTAAACAGTAGGTACCCTGGACTGAATAGAAGGTTGTTGTTGCCACCATGCGGATATTCATGAATCTGAACAGGAGAGCGATCTTGGAGAAGTTGTTCCCTGACAGCAGAATGTTGACAACATGAAATCTCCTCCTTGCATCCCATGTTTCAGCTTTGGCTGGCTGTTCCAACTCCATAATTTATGTCCATGCAGGCAAAACTGTATTAAAATACAAACAAAACAAAAAAAAGTTGGAATGGCGCTTCACACAGATTTAATATTCCTACAGTTGTACTGATTCCTCGTAACATGTGTGGCAAGCATTGGAATATAAACTCACCCACTCAATTATCAGAGCTGTACCTCTCAGATGTAACTTTACATGAGAAGGAGGATGGCCATCACAATATGTGCCTGTGCTGTGGTCACTGTAGTGGCATTTACTGAGAGGCAGTTGGAGGAAATTGGCCATCTGGACCACGCTTTTGCTGCATGCTATGCACGCTTGCTGGTTTATAAGGTCACTTTCAACAAGCACTTGATCATGTATTGGGAAAATTGGAATGGATGCTGCTGATGGTTCTTCTAAATGCGGCTGCGCAGTGGCGCAGTGGTTAGAGCTGTTGCCTTGCAGCAATAAGGCCCTGGGTTCGCCTCCCAGCCTGGGATCTTTCTGCATGGAGTTTGCATGTTCTCCCTGTGCATGCGTGGGTTCTCTCCGGGTACTCCGGCTTCCTCCCACAGTCCAAAAACATAACTGTTAGGTTAATTGGTCTGTCTAAATTGTCCTTAGGTGTGAGTGTGTGTGTGTGTGTGTGTGTGTGTGTGTGTGTGTGTCCTGTGTGTCTCTGTGTTGCCCTGCGATGGACTGGCTCTCAGTCCAGGGTGTACCCTGCCTGATTGCCCATTGACCACTGGAGATAGACACCAGCTCCCTCCGCAACCCTACGTGGACAAAGCGGGTTCAGACAATGGATGGATGGATGGCTCTTCTAAATTCTCTTCCAAATCTGCCTCCACACAATCAACAATGTCAAATACAGCATCATCCAGGCCAATGCTAGGAAGTTGGTCAACTTCATCCTGTGAGGCACACCTATTGCACAAGATTTTTTTTATATAATCAGTGAATAGAAAGTGAGAGTGGAGATGTTACTATGTATTTAAAAAAGCCAATTATGAAACATACCTTATTGATATTGGAGGTACATAATCTGAGTCATACGGGTCTAAAGCTCCTTCTCCTTCAAACTCTAATCTGGAATTAAATAAAGCAGCAAAATATGACAATATATACTGACATATATCATTTCAATAACAATAATTTGTTACTTACAAACTGTTTTCCAAACTATTGGCTCTTTCCTCGTCTAAATAGTCCTTTCAGCTCCATCAGTTTGATGCTACAAAAACAAACAGAATACATTAATTATGAAAACAGAGGGTATGCATCAAACGATAAAAAGCCCTGCATATTTACCTTTCCTCCAACAATTCTACCCCTTGATCTGCATTTAGAGGTTCAACACAGTATTTCTTTTATTTGACGTGGAGAACAATAATCTGAAATATGAGTTGAATTTTGTTTACAAGTAAACTTACCTATCAGATTCCCCTGCAGTTACTGAACTGGGGTGACGGGGCCCTGCAAACACTGCTGTAGATGGCCCACGTGGTGTCGATGTTAGTGGTCCCTTTGATAAAGCGTGCTTCTCATAACTGAAACAATAAAGCAACTTTTAATACTCCAGTCGTAATGTGCACATGTTTACAAATGAGAGTCAGTTATATAAACACTTGATTTGATTAGCGATGTAGTTTTACAAAGTTTAGACTGTTTTACACAATTCTAGTAAATTACACAAATATACTGTGATGAGTAGACACGCTAGACAAGCAGCCTATAAATGTTACTACTATGATATACGGAAAGCCCCCAGCTTGCTTTGAAAGCATCCACAGCCCTTTCCCTACACGCGTTTAGTAATAATTTCTTACCTTTCCAGCAAAAATGATGAAATGAAGAAATGTATTATTTCTATACATGTTTTGACTGTCAAACGTCCTTATAGTCCCTTTGAGTTATTCTTCCCTAATGCATCAACATACACATAACATGATTATTCCTGCAGAAATGTATTCTATGGCAGATACATTGGGATGCAAATGTTTGGGCACCCTTGTTAGTCTTTATGATTTTCCAGTATAAATCTTTGCTTTTTACGATAAAACATTTCAGTTAAATAAATCATATAGAAGACACACACAGTGATATTTGAGAAGTGAGAAAAAGTTTATAGGACTTACAGAAAGTGTGCAATAATTGTTTAAACAAAATCAGACAGGTGTATACATTTGGGCACTGTTGTCATATTGATTCCAAAACATTTAGAACTAATTATTGGAACTCAGTATTAGTTTGGTAAGCTCAGTGACCCTTGGCCTCCATGCACAGGTGAATCCAGTTATGTGGAAGAATATTTAAGGGGGCTAATTATAAGTTTCTTCCGCTTTAAAGTTCCTCTGAAGAGTAGCAACCTCAGAACAACTCTCACATGAGCTGAAAACAGATTGTTCACCATCATGGTTTAGGGGCAGGATACAGAAAGCTGTCTCAGAGATTTCAGCTGTTTCCACAGTTAGGAGCTTATTGAGGAAATGGAAGACCACAGGCTCAGTTCAAGTTAAGGCTCGAAGTGGCAGACCAAGGAAAGTCTCTGGTAAACAGAAGCAAAGAATGGTAAGAACAGTCAGAGTCAGCCCACAGACCAGCACCAGAGACCTACAACATCTTGCTGCAGATGGAGTCACTGTGCATCGTTCAACTATTGGGCGCACTTTACACAAGGAGATGCTGTATGTGAGAAGGATGCAGAAGAAGCCTTTTCTTCGCTCACAGCACAAACAGAGCCGGCTGAGGTTTGCTAAAGCACCTCTGGACAAGCCAACTTCATTCTGGAATAAGGTGTTGGACTGATGAAACTAAAACTGAGGAAAAGGAACACATCACTCTAAGAAAAACACCTGCTACCTACAGTAGAACACGGTGGTGGTTCCATCATGCTGTGGGCTGTGTGGCCAGTGCAGGGACTGGGAATCTTGTTAAAGTTGAGGGACACATGGATTCCACTCAATATCAGCAGATTCTGGAGACCAATGTCCAGGTATCAATGACAACACTGAAGCTGCACCGGGGCTGGATGTTTCAACAAGACAACTACCCTAAACACTGCTCACAGTCTGCTAAGGCGTTCATGCAGAGGAACAAGTAGAACGTTCTGGAATGGCCATCTTGGTCTCCAGACCTGAATATTATTGACAATCTGTGGTGTGAGTTAAGAAGACCTGTCCATGCTCAGAAGCATCAAACCTGAATGAACTAGAGATGTTTTGTGAAGAAAAATGGTCCAAAATACCTTCAACCAGAATCCAGACTCTCATTGGAAGATATAGGACGCATTTAGGGGCTGTTATTTCTGCAAAAAGAGGATCTACTAAATATTGAATTAGTTTCTTTTTTATACACCTGCCTAATTTTTTTAAACAATTATTGCACAATTTCTTTTTATCCTATAAACTTTGCTTCACTTCTCAAATATCACTGTGTTTGTCTCCTATTCATATTTACCCGAAATTTTTATATCGTAACAACCAACATTCATAAAGGAAAAGCATGAAGAGGCTGCCCAAACTTTTGCTTCCCACTGCACCGAAATGCTACCTAGCTACTATTTGCACATGCTAATAATCATTGAATTCTGTCAAATTAACCATTTAAAGCTAAACTGTATGCGGTGTAAGTAGGAATACTCTGGTTATTTTTATTTTTTAAATACATTTACAAAATAAGGCATCTTACTTTATACTCATGCAGATATGGTTCAAAATAGGTGACCCTGAAAAGAAAAATGTATTTTTTTCTGTTTTATTGCAAACAATCTCGTCATTTGGCTCCAATCTCAAAGATATTTTGTGAGACACAAAAATGTAAATCGCATAATTCTATGAAAAAAATGTAAAAAACAGCATTGACCTTTTAAAGTCTATGTAAAAACACTTGACTGTGCTTGTTCTACAAATGCAAATGAGTTTAGAGGAGTAGTGGACACTATTAGATTAGGTTGAATGGTATTACGGGGGGTATTAGCTGGTCAGGTGTATTCTGAACTATCAGGAGTTGCGTAACCCAAACTGAACCAAGTCTATTTTTATAAAGAAAGAGATTAGTGTGCAAGCGATGACTTCATTCCACACTGAACCTGCATCTGAACCAATGGCGTTTACTGAAGTTATCAAATTTCAACTCGGTTAGAAACGGATAAAGTGATTACACTCTGTCACAGTGTTTAGGTTACTGCTGTAAAAATACCCCAGGTGTATATTAAACGGACGATATGCGCCGTAGGAAAGAATTTCTGCTGAGCTCAACCAGACAGACGTCCAGGAATGCCACCGGAGATTCCCATGATCCCAGTCCACGTTCTGCTCCCAAACAACAACAACAAGCAGAACAAAAATGTGAAAAATCCCACAAAGGAAACAGAGAAGGGGAACAATGGAGGAAGCGCTCAACGTAAACAGGTTGGCCTGCATACCCCTCATTCCAGCCCTCCCAACAGAGATAAGAAATGTTGAAAGCAAGTGGGGTAAAAAACCACTGATAGAGCATCAAACATACCAGATTCTGACCGAAAATTGAGTCTGTACTTTGTACTTAACAAGTATTGACAGCAAATGTGTTGAGCCTCCTCGTGGCAGTTGTAACAAACCAGCTGGTGATATTTTATTCCTCTTTCTCGATCACAAATAAACACGTGTGTGTCTCCGCGTTCCCATTCTTTCACCACTTCAGCCGCGGACTATTTTTAAGCTCTTGGACCTATACTGCAACTAATTGGCGCCATGTTAGATTCGAACCTATGCTGTTAATGGGAAAAAATGTGTGATATGTTTTCGCCCTTGTTCCCTTTCTATATTTGTCCCAGTGTCCTCTGTGCAGCTGCTCCTCCAGATCTGGCTCCCTGTTTTCCCATCAAGCACCTCTCCTCAGTCCTTGCGTTTATCGTCTCAATTCAAGAGGCAGCGTCTCCATCAGCTCCTGGCTGAAGTGGCGAAAATACATTAGCAGCCATGTTGGAAATAAAAGCAGTTTGCTTTGATGTGTAACCCACACTTAAGTCTTTGTAGGCTCAGTTTTTAGTCCTTCAAAAATGGTTAAAATTCCTTCCATTGCAGCTGCCATGAATTCAATTAGAAGTGATGCTTTGGCCAACATTTTTTTTATTTCTTACAAACAAACAGTGTTTTTTTACAAACTATGCTGAAGAAATGTCAAATACGCTCAGAAATGTTGATGAATTCCACTTTTCCTTTGGGGCACGTTCAGCCCAAGCAAAAACAACTTTGCTTGACCTAAGTTGAGTCAAACTATGCTTACTATTCAAAATTCCATTCAAGTTAGATAATGTTAAATCTATTTTCCCCTTCCTAACTTCCAGTGGAATTCCCAGATTTTGAATGAAAGCTTGCCAAACAGGACTCCTAAGGTCACACGGCCGACCATCCACTCCCCTCCAAAACCCCTCACACAGCAGCGAGAGGTCCCCACCCCATCCATTTTCAGCTCCCTGCATCAGCTGTGCCAAGCTTTTAATCTGCCTGGTGACATCCCAGTGTTTCCTGCATAGGACCGCAGGCGGAGATAAGCGCACTCCTCTGTGCGGTAAATCACTCCACACGCCCACTCCCACACTGATATCACCATTATTCAATTAGGCAGCGCTCAGATTCACCACAGATTCTGATCATTATTGTCTCAGGCCTTGAGGTTATTATGCAGGTTTAATCACTTAGAAAAATTATTTAGACTGCTTAAAGTAAAAAATATATATATTTGGCATTCATGGAGTAACTTTGAATGCTTTAAAATCACCAAATAATGAAGCAAAAATATATATTATTAAAGTTATTTACTAATGTAATAATGATTAAAACTAAAATTACATTCAAATGTGTCATATTTTCTACAAAATGTCCTTAATTTCATAGACCTCTATGTCTTTACCATGATTAGTACATCCCTCACATTTCTGCTCTACATAAATCTTCATCCTCCTGGTGGAAGAGCTAAGTATTGCAGAAGATAAGCACCAATTATAATGTATTTAATTGTTAATTACATGTGTTAACTTGTGCGTATGAATCAATTAGATATATATTAAATGGGATATATTACGACTTTTTCTTAAGTTACACTATAACTGTGGTTGAAACCAAATCCCTCTCACATAAAGCTATTTCGCTTTAGGTATGTAACTTTAAAGAGGGACTGCACACCATCAGAAAATGTAACTCCTCCCCTAGTCAAGATTTGAAAAATGCCATGAAAGTGGGCGGGCGTTGCCAGGAGGTACAGAGCGGCATGGCCAAGTGTGGGGAAAGTCCATCCTGGGAGGGAGGGGGAGTGGGAGGAGACTGTACCGATGACGTGAAATTGTTCCAGCACAGTCAATCACAAGTTTAAAATGCAGTAGCTGCTGTTCTGCCACAGGGGGCAGCACTAAGACGTTTTCAGACCTAGATTCTAGATTTAATCAAGTTTACACAAACATGTCAAAAAATGTACTAAAACAAAAATATTGCATTTGTAAAGACCCAATTATACAGTTAATTAGCAAAAAAAAAGTTATTTTGGGGTTTAGTTGCTCTTTAAGAAAACAAGCTGGCCACACCCACCCATCCCTCGCTCAGGCTGCTAAAAGCTGAGAAGCTCTAATATTTGGGAGGGACTCAGAGTAGAGCTGCTGCTTCTGCATTAGCAGCTATTTCTTACACATGAGAGGCGGTTCTAACTTCCTTTTGGTGACATCACAAACTGAGACTTTTTGAAACGGCTTGTTTTAGGCTCGTATTTCCTAAACACTGACGTAAGATGGGCATACAATGGCAGCACAAAAGGAAGCAAGAGGTGAGTTTTGCATAATATATTCCCTTTTCAAAAAATGAAATAACTATGATTGAACAAATTTAGATTTTGCACAATGTTAGCCCCGTTTAAAAAAATGTTTGATATCTACACCTTGTTTCTAAAACATTTATGATTACTAAATATTGAAAATTAAGTATCTTTATTCACAGGTTTTCAACAAAATACAACTGGGTGTCTGAGACATGCAGTCCAATGCTTAATTTTACCTTTGTTTTAATAAGTCAAGGTTTCCGCAATTAGTCATTTATGTTAACAGTCAAAAGCTTTTTTCAACAAATCAAACGTATTAGTAAAATATTTACAGTTTCGGATTGGAATGAGCAAAAAGTATCAGATACGCATGATTTAATTTACTTTTAATGAAAATGTAAATAATGACACTGGACAAAAAAATTAAAACATGTTTTTAAAAAGTCGCCAATAAGTCAGGACCTGGAGATCATTTAAGTTAAACAGAGTTACAGCTAAATAAATTATATTAAGTAAAGTAAATTTGACTCCAAACGATGTAGGAGTCTCCTTACATCAGCTGATGGTGATGGTACAGTATATCAGCCACCAGGCCTTTCAACAGATATGCAGCATGCAGAGAATGTGAACCATTATTCCCCAGGGGGAATCAGGGCAGTCAGGGTCCTCCTCATCAAGTGGCTCCATCCCATCCCTGCGTTAGCTTTGGAAGGCCCGTGGACGAGGGCCAGCCTGCTGACGGGACAACCTGGCTACACGCGACCCAGATAGCAGCCCTGGGTGCGGAGTGATTTATCCATCAGCGCTCGCATCAGACAACCTTCCTCTGATTAAAAGGGTCAGTCTGTGAGCCACAGAGCTGAGCGGAGAGGTCGAGACGAGCAGCCTCTGTGTGGGAGACGCCGACATCCTGACTTAAATGAACTTTCCAGACTCTTTAAGCAGCACATTTACTGAACTCTATGCATACAAAATCATTATTTTACCAATTTATACACAAATGTGCACATGGTAATTATTTGTATAACTCATTTTAACATGTTGGGTGGCAAACACTGAAAAACACACACCAAGCCAAGATAAAGACTTATTGAGCTGGCCTTGACTTTGTCTCACCCTGACAACTAAAGGATGTGGTAGATCTGAGTGGCCCACTGTTTGGCGTGTCTCTGAGGGGCTCTTAAAGCTCAGCGTTCCTAATGTGTAGGGTTCACACACAGGTTACTGCCTCCATCAGTTTTTAAGTGGAAACGGTGTCTATTGTAAGCATGAAAGGGAATTCTGACGGGTTGAAAAATACCCTTTTTACTTTATAATGAACCCAAGTTTCCTGAGTTTTTTCATCAGGTTTTGTTTCTTCAGTGTTCTTCTGTTGGGTTTCCCGTTTAAAATGTGATTTTATTTAAATTTTAAATGTATTTATTTTGAATAAGTTCTGTGTTAAATCAACAGCTGTGGAAGTGTCGATAAATGTCACCATTTCATAGCTACATAAGGTACCAACTGTAAAGAAACAAATTTTAAAGCTTTATTTAACCACATATATCTTCAAGGAATACTCTTCAGAATATTAAGAAATAAATCTAAATAAATAAATATAAACTAACTATATGGACTTTGTTTCAGATTCACAAACAT